AACTTTATACGTACCTACTATAGAAAATCTTTAACTGAAGCGTAAATGAGTTCTACAATTTTTGGATTTTTGTCGACTCTCGACTGTTTCAAAAATACTTTAGAAAATTTTTTGGTTTCCAGTGGTGTATCTGTTTTTCTAAGAATCAGTGAGACACGATGTATAGCAAGTAGTGAGTAATGTATATGTAATTTATCACACTTTCGGCACAACTGAGTTTCAAAAATACGTTAGTAATTTGGTATATGTTTTCAGTGGTGTATCTGTTTTTCTAAGGATCGGTGAGACACGCTATATCACAAGTTCGTAGTATAAAATTTCACATAGGACAACATGTAATTTATCACACTTTTGATAAAGTTCATAGGTAAGTAGATAACTTCATACGTACCTACTATAAAAAGGTCAAAAATCTTAAACTGAATCGTAATTGAATTCTACTATTTTTGGATTTTGGTCTAATCTCAACTAAGTTTCAAAAATACTGTAACTACCCAAGCCAGTTCGCTTGGTAGAATATTTCATCATAATCAAGAGTATTGATTCATTTTGGAAGACATTTTCTTATTTAAGGATCTCAGTTAGTGATTCAGTTCATGACTCCATTAATAAGGGTTCAATTTCTATGAGTAGTTGCATTTTTTATCAGAGAAGTGAGTAACAAATCATCACGAGATCATAAATTCTATCACTCCAACTTTGCATTGTATCCCAGGTATGGTAAGACCTTGTTGGATACTCGATTCTACAGTGTTGTGCTTTGTTACAACATCAGGTAGCTTGGTAAGTAATCTGGACTTCGATTTGTATCGGTTTATTCCAGCTACAAAGGCAGGAAGAGCCTGTTTTGTGGAAAAAACTCTACCAATTCACGAACGTTTGACGCTGTCAGACGTTCATAAATTCACTTCAAATCTGAAGTAGAACCACAGGGACAGACTTATAAGTATGTGAAAACAGCTACCTGATCGTTGGACATCGTATGTTCACAGCTAGAAGCCTCATAATGCAAGGGAGCACCTTGAAATGGGGCCAAAAAGGGGCCAAATTCAGGTTTGTTACAATAAAAGAACATCAGTAACCATGGAAGTGGTCCTAGTGACAATCACAACAAACGGTTTCCCTATAAATAGCAGCCCGAGCCGCGATCTCGACAGAACATTTCCAACCTTCGAAGAAGCAACATCTCCAGAAATAAAAGACTCATAGGAAAAGAAAAGCATGGAAGTATACCAGGCCTCTACCTCCGTCAGCCCGAAGGAAGGAGTTGAAGAACCAGGTCCCAGTATAGTAGTATCTCAGTATTTGCAAGATAGTCCATTCCAAATAGAGTAAATTCATCACATTATATCGTTTGTTATTGTACTTCACTGCTACTAGAGCTGTTGCTCACCCTTGACCAGTTGAAAATAATCTGAAGTGCTTATAGATGACGATGAGTGGTCGAATTGCTCGATGGTACTATGGGAGCGCGTCCCCTGTTGCTCTTAAAATAATTAACAGTAGGCATACTGAAATGGACGTCCCTGTGGAGGTGTACACCACGGAGGTGGCTTGCAACCACTCTTATTTTATTCCCGACGGGTGACGATCCTTTTGCTAAAAGATGGCCCAGCCCAGAGCAATTAGAGTGGAGTGCAAACATATGCCGTCCCAGCAATTGATCAGTTAATACCAAACATAAACTTTTGCGGCTGAGTCTTGGTTGTACCAGTGAAGAGGTTTGATTGCTAATTGATAAGTCACTTTACTTCACCTCGTACACTTGCATTGTAAAAAGCTGCGTGGTTAATAAATGCTCTCGAACTTCACTTGATTTTCATTTCTTCTCTACCTTCACAAAACTCTGTATCCACGAACTTATAAAAAAAATATATATACACAACGTGGGAACGTGTTTGAGGGGTAACGAAATGAATTTCGATACGCCTCAAATATGATATACTAGACGATCACATGAAATATGGATAATACTTCCATATTTAGACAACACCCGGGTGGGTAGGGTTACAATACGTTAGTATTTTTTTTGTTTTCAGTCGTGTATCTGTTTTTCTAAGATTCAGTGAGACATGAACACAAGTAGTATAAAATTGCACATAGGACAACCTGTAATTTATCACACTTTTCGCAAAATTGATAGGTAGATAGATAACTTTGTACGTAACCAACTATAAAAAACTCAAAAATCTCAAACTAATCGAAAATGGACTCTACATTTTTTGGATATTGGTCAAATCTCAACTGAGTTTCAAAAATACTTTAGAATTTCATTGGTTTTCAGAGTGTATCTGTATTTTTGAGAATCAGGTAGACACGCTGTATAACAAGAAGTATGAAATTTCACCTAGGACAACCTGTAATTTATCACACTTTTGGCAAAGTTGATTGGTATGTAGATAACTTAATACGAACTATAGAAAGGTCAATGAATCGTAAATGAATTCTACAATTTTTGGATCTTGGTCAAATCTCAACTGAGTTACTAAAATACGTTAGTAATTTTTTTTGTTTTCACTGGTGTTTCTGTTTTTTCTAAGAATCAGTGAGACATGCTGTATAACAAGTAGTATAAAATTTCACATCGGACAACCTGTAATTTATCGCACTTTTGGCAAAATTGATAGGTAGGTAGATAACTTTATGTACCTACTATAAAAAGGTCAAAAATCCGAAACTGAATCGTAAATGAATTCTACAATGTTTTGGATTTTGGTCAAATCTCAACTCAATTTTCAAAAATACGTTAGTTACTTTCTTGGTTTTTAGTGGTGTATGTGTTTTTCTAAGAATCACTCTTCTGTCTCGGAGCTGTTGGTAGGTAGATGAAAGGAAATTATTCAAGTAAGCATATCAACGCAGAATGTACGATAGGAAATATAGATAATTGACTAAATTGTTTTTGTTTGAAGTGGCATAATTTAACGTATCTCTCTGTGCAAGTATCATTCAGTGTAACATTCGTTGTGAATTGTGCCCGGCTACTTACGAAAAAAAAAATGAAACTTTCGGTTCCTAAACCATAAGGACAGTGACAATGAGGTTCAAATTAGGTAATAATTACCTATACATAATATATGAACTTCTCATATATTTTTCAAAAACAACTCAAAGAGAAGAAGTTAGAGAAGTGCTGCCTAAAAAATTTAAATAGTTACTGGCGAAAAATTATAAAGTGTCAATGTGCTACAAAAGAAATCTTATATACGGCGTAATTAAATCCAGAAGTAAAGCTTCATGATAGTAATAAGGAAATGACAGTGATAGGTTCGCAACTCAATTTAGAAGAATTCCTCACGAAAAATACAGACAATACAGGTGAACTGTCAGCACTATATCCACAAATTGATACAGATTTGACAAGAAAATAATTATTTGTTTTACTAGGCAGAAAAGTACAAGATTTAATGCCGCGGCTGGGGTTTCATAGCCTAGGCCCAGAAAGAACTGCAAGTCATTTCATCTTCCATTTCCATACTTCGCGGTTACGTAAATTACCAAACAACCATACTGAGTTTGCAAATTTTCGAAATGAAATCATACAGTTAGACTGACAGATATTTGATTACTTCAAGAGAAAAGAATGATGAAGATGCCTGCAAAAATATTCCTGCAACGTAGGTGTAAATCCAGTTAAAAGTTTCAAATTTCACATCAATTATTTTCTGATTTTGATATGATGTAATATCTTTTCAATATTGATTCGTCCTTCTTTCTGCCACAGATAATAGTGTATCACAATAGTGTATTATAAGGTTTTTTATCAGTAGTGTGACAGCACAACCTCGAGGTAAAATCTAATACTTGCGTTTCCCTTGTATAATGAATAACTATATACACTCACCGGAAAAAACCTGCCATCCAAAAAATTAGCAAAATTGATTACCCTGTAACTTCATTAATTCTTTTCCGATTTTGGTGAAACTCCACCCATGTTGAATTTTCTTATTTTGTTCTATTTTTATTTCTAATTTGGTTTTATTCGCATTATAAACTCACCTTTATTCAACCAAGAAATTCATGAAAATTTACATGCTCATATTTTGGAATACACTCTCCTCATTTGAAATATTTTCACCGATGCAGTGTTGCCGCTCCTATCGAAAAGTAGCATCAACTCTGTTATTTCAAACAGAATTCGATTTTCAGATTTTACCTGAAGAGCTGATTTCATCGATACATCACACTAGGGTCTATCGGAAATGATTACAGATATAGGGTGTTCAAAATTGAGATTTTTCAACTTTAGGATTTGTTTTATTGAGGGTGAGTTTTTTTCCGCTACATCAGAAAATACAAGGCGCTCGGAACAAACGATCTACAGGGTACTATTTGATTTTTTTAAATGGAACACCCTATTTTTCATTGCATTTTCAGATTCTTCCTCAAGAGCTGATTTCATCACACTTGGGGACGGATATAGGCGGTGTTCAAAATCGAGATTTTTTAACTTTAGTTTTTTTTTCGTGACGAAACAATTCATTATTGGTCAAAACGGCATTCATGTCCGTATCTTGACTTTTGATTTACTATCTACTGAGATTTGATAATTGGAACAGATACAAGGTGATCAGAATTCTGAATCTTGAACCACACTGTATATGTTACAATTAAATGTCAGTAGATAGTAAATCAAAAGTCGGGACAGGGACATCTGAACCGTTTTGACCAATACTGGATAGTTTCGACACAAAAAAATCCGAAAGTTGAAAAATCTCGATTTTGAACACCCTATATCTCTGTTATCATTCCCGCTAGATCCCAAGTATGAAACATTTATGAAATCAGCTCTTCAGGGAGAATCTAAAAATACAATGAAATACAGGGTGTTCCATTCGAAAAAATCAAGTAGTACTCTGTAGATTGCCTGTTTTTTCTGATGCAACGACAAAAAATATTCTGAGAAATCATTTTAGATGACTTTCCAAATTTTTGAATCGGTCCAAAAATAAGTGAGCTAGAGGTTGGGACATTTATGGTGAATCACCCTGTACTTGCAGACATGTCTGCCAGCTCCGAGCACTTTCCTTCCGTCGTTTCGCATCCCCAACCGGACCTCAGTCGCGTTAACAGTCGCGTCAGCGTAGCGACCGGCGGACACGACAACCCCGGGTTCGAATCCCCCAGCAGAAAAGTGTCTTCGTCGTCGGAACACGCCGAGATAGGCCCCGTGAGGAAGAAGAGCATCCTGCACAAGAGTAGCGAGTATTTCGATCATATGAGCGGATCGGGGAAGTGCGGTGAGTATGTTTTGATAGTATAAATAAGTTTAGATTTGACTTTTGGCCACGGTAGGAGAAACATGGCGTCCCCAGGCCAAAAGTCAGGTTGATGTGTGTACACGTCCAAAATTTCCTAATTACCTGATCTGGATTGAAATCCAATATTCAATGTGAAGTTTAATAAGTGTATGTGAGAAATAGCAGACTCTTTTATCTCTACGCTGGTATAGAGGCCGGATGATAATGGATTCATCGGATAAGGGAGCCATACTTGAAGTCAAACGTGCTCCATTATCTCTACGCCGGTAACCAGGCCGGATCAGCAGCGGATTTGCTGGATAAGAGAAGTACATACGATCGAATCTTATATGAACACTGAGGACTCGGCTTCAGGCCATTTTGTGATAGACAATCGGTGTCCTATGTGGCGAGTCGAGTGATAATATTATTACATAACCAAGTATTTATTTTTGAAAAAAAAATAATTACCTGATCTGGAGAAATTGTTTCCGAAAAGAGACAGAAATCCGATAAACCCAAAGAGAAGAAGAAGTACTTATTTATTCACATACTTTTTGTGGGGCAGAATAGTTATTGATGTACCAAGGACGAACAACCGTCTTTCATAATAGAGTCTCCAAATTGATAGCCGCGAGGCATTAGCCGGTAAGACAATGGACAGTTTTTCGCCGAGGTGCATATTAATTTTTTCCTGCAACCAATACAGAAGTCGTCCATTCAAATACCAGAATTAGCTTTTGATTCGACGTTTCTATCACTGACACAAACATAGGTATGTTGCTAAGCAACACTTTCAGTTCCTAGGAGCTAAATTTGAACTTCAGCTCCTAGAAACTAAAAAGAATGTACCAGGTGATCAAGAATAAACAACATTGTTGAGGTTGGTTGTTTGGGTTGGGTTTCATACCCATGCTGGAGATATAAATACACCATATTTTATGTAGTTAAGTATTTTTGTTTCGATCAGGGAAGTCTCCAAGATTCACATACTTGCTTGATCTGTATGTCATTCGTTATTCTCGGGATGGATAACTTGTTTTTGAATAATCACGGCCAGCAATACTTTTTCATCTCACACAACGAATTCTTTCACTTTCATTTGATTACCGAGCCAAACACAGTGAAATATGGAGAGAAATGAATAATCGCTACTATCTCATCTAGGGCAATTCCATGCTGATGGAAATACCGATCATATATAGACATTGTGAAAATGGTGGTACCAGACATTGATATATCAGGCATATGGAGTTCCACCTTTTTGAAGAACATACAAGCTTGAATTTTGGTGGCGTTGAATTGAATTAGGTTGTTGTTTTCCCAGGCTTTAGTTTTAGCTCGATTAGTTATTAGATCTCAGTTTTCTGTAGGAAGAAATGAAAATTCTGGAAGAGGACGTAGTACCTATGAAACGTACAAATCATTAATAGGAAGTTGAAACAATGTTGGTGATAAAGTTGATCCTTGCACGATAAGAATAAGTCTGAAGATTGTAATTTTTCTATACCTTCGGTATTATTTCGGAGATATACTGGTATAGAATTAAAACCATCTTTTTTAGTTTGTTCCGAAAGAATTTAGTTATGGCCTACAACCTACATATAAAGTCTCTATATGGATCCCTATTAGTCCATATTTGAAGGGACTGAAAGGACTCTATTCGAAATAGAAAAACGATAGATTATTACTTATTCTTTTTATCACATTATTACAGAACATGGAAAACAAATGAATGGAGATACTCATTTCAAGAAGCACTCAGTTTGTGAATCAGTTCACTCTCGGGCGCGATTTTCTGATACCACAGAACCCAGGTGAGTCAAATTTCGATCACTCGAACCAATCGAGAAAATAATTTAAAATTCAAAAATTCAGTTAAATCATTTTTCACATTCTGAATTTCCGAAAGTTGAACCTATACAGAGGAGTGCACAAAAAACGTCCAGTGCTGTAATTTCTGAATTATTCGAGATCGGATTCTGAAAACTGTAGGGTTGCAAGTATACCAAACCGCTTATTTATTGACGACACAACTTTTTTCTACGGCTATAATACGAAATTGCTCTTGTATTACTGTGTTCGATACATCAATGAGGTAATTTGTATATCACCAATTTTATATCCGTATCTGATATTACAATGAGTCCATTGTGTTATTATTTCAAAAAAATTTCATCGCTCATGGAATGTCTAATATCAAGCAATGACAGCTCTGTTCAATAGATGAGCATTACTTGAGAGGAAATCAGATGGCTACAAGACGAAGAAATTAAAAGTGCCGCTGTTATCTGTTACAGCTGTGGAAAAATTATAGTGTATAACTCGCACGGAATGCTAATTTCCCACTAGAATGATTGCAGCTTTTGCCTTGCATGAAATCACCATCATTCCGTGGTCATTAAACAATATACTATTGTTCTATCACTTACCATTTCACCGGAAACGACCCCAATTGTTTATTTTCAAAATGGACACCCTGTATTTAAGCCCATAATCGGTAGTGAATTATCATAACGAACGAACTATATACCTAGTTTGATAGGGTTAGGTCGAACGATAACGAAAATATTTGCTTTCAAATTATGGAAACTTCGAACGTGAATATCTTCATAATCGTTTGAAATAACCCAATCAAACTTGGTATTGTTGAATTCGTTATAATAATCTCTTACCAGTTATGGAATAAAATACAGCGTGTTCTATTTGAAAATCAGAAGTTGGGGTCGTTTCCGGTGAATCCAGAGGTGATAGAACAGAAATTGTTTTGTCAATATAAATGAGCAACTTGGTATACTTGCTACATACCAATTTTAAAAATCGAATCTTGAATGATTCGGCACTAGCCGTTTTTTATGCACTTCTCTGTATATTCAAACAAGGTTATATAATCAAGGTTCACAGTGAATTTCCTTTGCAGGTCTTGGTGGTACATCTTCTGCTTGAGATGCAGATCAAAAGAAGATCCTTCCTCCCCCTCCTGGCAGCCAAGTTTTTGGCCGAAACTTTGCCCCCACCCCTTTTGTTTGAGCTACAGGCAGTTCACCAGAATCATCTCGCTGACCCTGATAGGTAAGGAAACTTTCAACCCTTCAGTGGTGACGAGCGGTTTCCAAGACCGACCAAACATGGTCATCTGTCAGCCGATGTGAATACTTGTAACTCATTCGATGTTCATAAATGCGGTAGTTGAACGCTCTATCTGTCTGACCAATATACCGGGTATCCCGAAATGACATAGAGAGATTTCAACCTCAGATTCTAGGAACAAAAATAGTGAAAACGTTTATATATAAACATGGGTCCAGAAATCTATTTGTTGCGCCCTGACTCTTTTGCGTCATGTCTCTAGATGCTTCTTTTCAACTATTATTGAATTCGTGCATCGTCAACGGGACTCCTCAGGTCCCAAAAGAAGGACAACACATTCTTGAAAGTCTAGTTTAACTCCATAATAAGATTCGAAACGCAATTAGAAATTTTTCAAGAAATTCTCCATCGTTCACGCGCCATCTATCATTGAATGTGAGAACCCGAAATCGCATTCAACTGTTCATATCAAGAGCTAGTTGGACGAAACAATTGAAGAGTGGGCACACCAGAGGAATTATAAACATCTCAATCCACAGTATTTGTGCATACTCTTCAAAATGAACGATCAGCCAATGCAACACGACAAAGTTCTACAAGGTATAACATTTTGAAATTCCATTCATAGGTCTCTTGACGTGGTGCATCCTGTACGCGATGATAGGACCTATAGTAGCGCCCCCTAGCGGCAAACTGTTCCAGCTGATGGTGCTCAGCATATCAGCGCATCTAGGAGGCTGGCTGATCAGCTTAACTACCCTGCCAGCCTTGATAGGGATGCTGTTTACCGGGTTGCTGCTCCAGAACGTTAACATCGTCGATATCGATGAAAATTTTGCAGAAATTTGCAAAGAACTGAGGTACCTAATCAATCAACTCAAATTAGCTTTCATGTTTATCAACTCACTGAATCGGAAGGCGTTTGCTTCCTCCTTTGAGGACAGAATGCCCATTCAGTCTCAAGGGAGGATATAGTATATTACACACCGAGGTGGAAAGATATTCATTCTTGTAGTGAGATTTCGAGGTTAGCTATGATCTCGAGACAGGAATGAAACTTCCTACCGAGGTTTGTATACTATTTTATTAACAACCATCATATTTCGATCAAAATTAATAGATCTCTGTTTCGTTCTGAACATACTAAAAATATTACATGAGTGAGGGCGGGAAGTAGAGGTGTGTAATGTGATACTTCCCAACCTTCTTGACGTTAGTAATGACAACATTACATATATAGTCATATATAGTTGTAAATAAAAAATATTACCTCACGTGGGAGTTAAAATAATATATAAATAGTCGCCATTGAAATAATTTCTCCATGTGCCGCTCTCTACTTTTGTATTAACAGGCATTTAAGCGACCGAATGTTTTACAGTTCGATCTCCATAAGTGGAAAGCAGCAAATCAGTGAAATATTTCAAAGGTCACTACGATGCTACGATCATTATAGAGACCCTGTATATCCTGCGGGAGCCAAGGTTCATCTCCTCCCATGCTTCGTTTCAGGGAGAAAACAGAAACATCTTTTCCCTTGATATACTAGGTGTCCTGAAGCTTTTAGGCAAGCAGATATCTGGGTTATCTAACATACAAAAAATTGTGGAATTTATCCTCTACCGTGAATGGTCAGATCAAACCACCCTGGTGTCAAACAGTCTACTCGATAACTACCCTTTAGTTTTTCAAATTGTATCCCCAAATTTTTTCGGATCATCTTATAGAACTATGGAACTATGGAACTATGGAAACTATGATTATAGTCACAATTATAAGGAAGTTAATGATTTTATAGGCATGTTATACTGTTACACTCCTTCCTTGAAAAATCAGAGCTACATACGAAGTCTAAATGCGGTATAAGGTCATTTCAAACAATAATTCAAGGAGACTATATATTATTCCAAAAAATATTATTGAAATTGAATTTCTGAGGATTAATTTCTTGCTGAATATCTAGTCCGATATACAGGGTGTTTCGAAATTCGACCGACAACGTTTGACAGGTGATAGCCCTCGTGATTTCATAATCATTGAGATAGGAACATTCGGTCTTCAAGTGTTCAGTTCTCGAGATACAGGGCGTTGAAGTTGAGAAATGAAAATAGTTGTTTCGCAATATCTCAAGAATAATTGAATATAATGCATTCAACTTCGGTATATGGTTTCATCTTTGAATGGGCCATTTTTTGACCTGGAAGCCATTCCGGACATTTTGTCCAGTGGTGCCCTACAGGGGGTTGTGGCATTTTTTCCTTCCATATTTTCTACGCCACTGATTGAATTTCGATTATTTCCAATTCCTCGAATTCATTGTTCAATTTTGTTCAGAAAATGCATCACCTTCAACTGAGCTGAAATAAACAGTTTTCGAGATATTCGACCCAAAATAGAAGATTGCATAGTAATATTTCATCATTTTCAGTAGTAGAAAATTGCAAAAATATTTTTCTGGTGTTGAGTAGATTAGATACTATTCAGATCTCATTCCATAGCTGAACAGAAATAGTTATTCCATACATGAAGAGAAAACAAAAATTTTCGTAATTTTTTACTACCGAGGAAGATGAAAAATTACTATGCATACTTCTATTTTGGGTCAAATATCCCGATAACTGTTCATTTTAGCTCAGTTGAAGGTGATGCATTTTTTCAACATAACTGAACAAACAATTCGAGAAATTGGAAATAATTGAAATTTCATCAGTGGCGTAGAAAATATGGGAGGAAAAGTTATCACAACCCTCTGTAGCGCATCTCTGGATGAAATTCTCGGAATGTCTTTCTGGTCAAGAAATTAATCAGTGAAAGATGAAACCATATACCGAATTTGAATGCATTATATTAAATTATTCTTGAGATATTGCGAAAAAACTATTTAAATTTCTTAACTTCAACGCCCTGTATCTCGAGAACTGAACACTTCAAGACCGTCTGTCCATATCTCAGTGATTATGAAATCACGAGGGCTATCACCTGTCAAGCGTTGTCGGTCGAATTTCGAAACACCCTGTATAACTGAATCAAGAATGGAATGGTCTATAAGATATGGGGTGTAATTTGAAAAACTAAAATTAGGGGTATGGTTTCTTATTGTTGATTGTTTGACATGAGGGTGATTGGATTCCATTATGTTGGAGAGTTTTTGGTCACATAATAATATATTCCACAATTTCTTGATTTCTGTTATAGCCGAAAAGCTCTAGGACACCTGTATAAATAGTTATTATTATGTGGTGATATTGTTAAAAAATAATGAGAATCTCAGAAAACAGGTTGTTGAACCTGATTCAGGGAATAGACCTGATGTTCACAATAGTTTTAGATGTTAAAGTATCCGGAAGGTCTGGCATCAATTTGAAAAAAAAATTCTTAATGAAACCCCGATATTGAATCAATTTTTCTCTCCTACAGGAACGTTGCTCTCGTCATCATCTTGATTCGTGCAGGTCTGGATTTGGATCCCAGCGCAATGCGTAGAATGAAATACACTGTTATCAAATTGGGATTGGTGCCCTGGTTGATGGAAGCATTCGCAACGGCCTTACTATCCGTTTTTCTACTTGATCTTCCTGTCAGCTACGCTCTATTATTGGGTGAGCTCTTTTGTTATTTTCGAAAACAGACAATCGATGAATGTATGTTAGATAAACGTTTCTACTTTCCATATACAGTGTGACCCACTTCTAATGGAAACATGGATAAACACTGCTCGCCAACAGCCATGGGACCACCCCGATTTCCGGAAAATGATATAAGGAGTCAAAATAGGTTGAAAATCACTTCGGATTCGGAATCAGGATGCCCAATTCACTATCTATTCATATTTTCCCTGGAAAATGTTCAGTTCTGAAAAATTTAATTTTGTCGCAGTTTTTACGGAAGCACCCCCGTATCTTACGTAATTGACTTTATGTTTGGACTTTCCCTTCTTCCTGCAAATTTCAGAATCCTATCTCAATAATTACGTGATATACGGGGGTACTTCCGTAAAAAATTTCGACGAAATTTAATTTTTCAGAACCGAAAATTTTCCAAGAAAAATATAAATAGTCAGTGAATTGGGCGTCCTGATTCCGAATCCGAAGTGATTTTCAACCTATTTTGACTCCTAATATGATATTCCAGTAATTGGAGTGGTTCCAAGGCTGTTGGCGAGCAGTGTATATCACTGAAGATGACCCCACTTGATCATAGAGTGCATTTTTGGTATATCTCTCGCTCCAGCAAATTTCAGAATCCTCAACCAACGATTACGTGAGATACAGGGGTGTTTCCATTAAAAATGGGTCACACTGTAGGTAGGTATGCTGGTCTGAAAAGTTTCAATTACTAAATTAAAAACCTTTGATTACACAATAATTCAATGAACTATATGAATCAGAAATGAGAAATTGTCAATTATCTGAATCAGACTATATAAATGAAAGTATTGGATCGCTTCATGCGGAAAAAAGGAAACTAAGCCTATCAATCATTCCCATAAGATACATAATACATACTTCCTGTTGAGCTTGTCAAAGATATAACTTACCTATTCCATGAATATAAATCTCTCTTTATGCAATGATCTCGAAATTACTGTAATTTAGGGAAGTGTTCACATTATATAATATAAATAGGTATGACCTCGTGATGAGCGGAATTCTTCAAAGTGCTATAAAGTACACATTAAACTCAATCAGATCCTAGACGAATTACCAACATCGGTATTTTCGCTTAGCAAAGTCATCATAGAGGATATTGATGAAAATGTAGGGATTATTAATCCCCAAGAAATATCAGTAGATAGTTTTCATGTCGATTTGCATCATTATTATAACTTCTTGTCGGTGTCAGGTGATTCCTAATATACAGTATTGTTAGAAATTTTAGTGCATATATGTGATCGTAGTACCTGAGTCACGATAATAACACAAAAATGAAGTCACCAACCTAAAAATTTCGATCAGAAAACAAAGAATTCACAGATGTATTTAAAAGTATGAATGAAAATTGTAGCGGTAGAAATCGTCTTTACTATTAAGGCACACGGGGCCCCGTGCCCAGGGCCCCGAAGGACCAACAATGGGGAAGACCACTGAGGGATGAAATCTGTACAAACCTCTTTCAATCGATGAATCATGATTTACATTCAATGTACAATCAATATTATACGGTAAAGTTGAAAGGACTCGAATCTATATGGATATCCAGTCGATATTTCAAAAAGCCAGATATAAAGGTGGAGCTGTGACGTATTACTCCCGAAGTGTAGCTATCTCTCTCTGACCTTGCCATTCTGCGATATGTTGGAGGGTGATTGGTCAGCTCAAGGACAATATGCGTGTTGGGACAAATACGTCACATCAGTCACACCAATGAAATTATACCATTTCAAATGACGAAGAAAGTGTGCCTTTTTTGAAATCATTGGTATTTCCTTAGATCATACAGGAATGATCTGAGGGTATTTCTCCCTCATTTATATTTTTGTTGAGCACAGTACCTGTGACAGAGCCATCATCATATTATAGTGTGTTTAATTGATTACCCATAATGAATGAAAGATCATGATATACAATAAGACGTGATGCTAGCATATTGATATGTGTGAATCACGATAAAAACTATGTCCAAGCAGTCAGCCTTGCTTCTTTACTGAGAGAAGGTTACCACGTTACATTTATTGGGTTGTTTACCGATTTACATCAGTGTTTCCATGGATCCAAAGTATGATTAGATATATCAGTGTTTCTTTATTGATTCGCTATCTTGACTTTCCAAAAGGGTCTTAAATTCTTGTGTGCCCAACGGCCCAGCATAGTTTGAGACGGCTATGGCGGAAGAAGAAGATCACACTATGAAAACGGTAGATCTAGCACACACTTATTGCCACCAAAGTGGAACATCCGCTATTCTCTGGTCATGTTGTCAACAGCCATCTTACCTTAAATACTCCTATTTGTGACAATTCGACAAACAATCTGTGTACAAAAACATCCATCGAATCAATGAAATATTTTTCAGGATCCCTTGTAGCGGCAGTATCACCGGCAGTAGTAGTAACATGTCTGTTCAGGCTCAGATCCAAAGGGTACGGTGTTGCCAAAGGTATACCGACCTTGATCATCGCAGTATCGGGAATTGACGATGCTGTTTCAGTGGCCATCTTCGGCATCATCAAAAGCATCATGTTCTCTAGCAGCTCTTTGACCAGTCTCATAATCGAAGGACCAATATCTATAGTAGGAGGTATGTTTCAGTATTAGCGATAGAAAATAAGCGTTCGCCATCCATCGGAGTTCATGAAAGCTGTCGAAGTGGCATGTTTACTTTGTTTCCATTGGTTCACATTTCTTTTTGTTTGTGCCTATTGGTCATATCATCAAAACAAACCGCTCAGAAGTGTTCAAGTTCCTGCCGTCAGGTGAAGCGACGTGTTATTTTCTATCGTGAATATCTCTATGACTCACTCCCAGTCAGCCAAAGTACATCTTATAGACGTATATTCCACTACATAAGTATACGTCTTTGGGACGTAAATTTTAGATATCGGAGACCTCATTTGAATTACAGAAAAATCACACATTTTCCATTGATTTCCACCTGTATACATGAACTATTGCAGCCAAGCGAAAAAAACAGGAATAACCACTCTTGTTGTCGCTTTGCATCGGTGATCGGATTATATCAATTTTTTCTTTTTCTGTTTGTTCCATTCATTACAATACAAGCTTTTACTCAGTTTCACATATCCTGATGGTGTCTGTTGGTGATCAAAACTTGCCAGTTTGATCGAAACACTTCCAATCTTCCGATTGATTCGAAAGTGGCAAGTGAATATGATTCCGGTAGCAATTCGTCGTGACGTTGATATTGAATGAAGCAAACAAAATGGCGGATCCAATATGGTGGATGATTCTTGTGATTATATTATATTCGAATGAAAATTGGTATCTCAGAGGGTTTTCGGGGGTTCCAAAAGCGTGAAGAGAGATTTTTTCGTTTTTTTTTTTTTTTCGAAAATGACTTACATTGTTGTACCGGGTCATCCACCGAGAAGGTCCACCCTTATATTTACCTTATTTCTCATCAAGAAAAAAACAAACGATATACGGAAGCCTCTCCACAACCTTTATCAGAAGTTTTACTGGGTGATCTCTAGAAGCGTGACAAACCACAAATTGACTTTTTCAAATGAAACAGCCTGTTTTTAAAATTTTTTTCGGAATCTGTGATTTTTTGTGATCACAAAAGTATATAAATTTTAACAGTATATCTCCTATTTTTATTACATCATCTTCAGTTTTCTGACCACAGAAATTTTTTTTTTGTGTTCGCTTCTACAGATATCGTGTTAGCCATGAATGAGGATAAATTTGACACTTGTATATTGCATCATTATCGGATAGATTCCCAAACTGAAAAAAAAAATTCTTCTGGGGTCAAAAAAGTGGAGATAGGAGATATATCATACTGCATATATATTTTTTTGTCATCTCAAAGAAATACAGATTCCGAAATCCGAGGAAATATAAGAAACAAGGTGTTTCATTTCTAAAAAATGAATTTGTGATTTGTGAAACCTACCCTGTAAAACATTCAAGTCCGTCAAATTGACGTACTTGAATGTAAGTCTTTGAGACGTCTTTTATACGGCCTAGAACGAATGACATGTATCGGACCTAAAATTTATGCCATTGAGATGTACATGTTCGTACGTCTTGAAGACGTAAACGAATGTACATATTTAAGACGTTTTTTATACGTCGTTGACCGTAAAGACGTAAGTCGGACGTAGTAAATTTTCGTCTTTAAGAAGTCTGGTGCTGATTGGGCTTGTTATCAAATAACGTGGGCAATTAGGTGTGAAACTTTGTCGGTCGAATTTCAAATCACCCTGTATTGAAATAACAGCAGAATATACGTTAGTGCATGGGTTATTCTTATCTCTGGCACAGGGCAACTTTTGTGTATTCATTATTTATTAATTTCAACCACGAATAGCTACCTAGTTGCAGCATTCAATTCAGCACTCTTGTGCCCATAAAACTTGAGCGAACACCAGAATACATGGTCGTAAATGAATGATTAAATATGCATGACTGCTGTGGGCATGTGATAACGCACGATATCATAGACAGAGTGAGCATAAATTATATAGAACAAAAATGTACGAAAAAAGCTGACGTCAATTGTATGAGTGTGTGCTTCCGAGAATTTGGTATTTGTTCGTGAAATAATTGATGATTTTTTGCAGGTATTGGTTTTGGTGTTCTCTGGGGTATGTTTTGCAACTATTCTCCAGAGAAAAATGACCCTTTCGTTATTCCTCTCCGTATACTGCTGCTTTTGGTTGGTGGAATGGTTGCAGTTTTTGGCAGCGAAGTCATTGGCTATGGGGGAGCTGGTCCACTAGGTGAGGAAGACTTCGTCAAACGTCAAAAATATGTAGTAAAATGTCAGTAAATTATCTAGTGCTCATATAGTGAGTGGTTGAACTAAGCTTCTTCGTGTTTTGTATTGAAGTGTGATCCCTTCTAAACACAATGATTATTTGTTCACGTCGATATTTTTTTTTGGGAAAATGAAAGTGTTTTGAATTTTTATTTGCAATAATTCAGAACCTATAGAGCATCTTTGGAATGAATTCCAGATTAGCATCCGTACGTCTTCGTCCGGCTTCACCAGGACCGTTGATTGATATATTACGCTTAAAGCGTAATATATCAATCAACGCCAGGACTATTCAAGAGCTCTACGATTGGCCCTTCAAGAGGGTATTGAGGTAATTTTTTCTTCTCCTCAAGACAGAGCTTGAGAAATCTGATCCACTCGATGCTTTCTAATGCTGTAATTCATTATCGAGGAGAACATACTCGTTATATTGACTACATCTAGGAGGTCTGTTTTTTATTTGTTTTTTGTATCCAGAAGTTTTCGTCGGTAAATACTGAAAAAACGGGGTTGAAATGAGCGATATAAATTTCTAAATGTTTTTTCTAGTTGTTAATCCATAAGTTTATGCGTAGGTTCTGAATTTTTGTTCATTGAAACTATAAAAAACTATGTTTTCTTGAAACACTTGTATCTTCTTTAAAAAAGAAAATATTGACGTGAATAAAAAATCATTATGTTATAATAAACCTAAGTCTAACAACTCAGTTTTTCCAACTCAGGGCGTTACCAAATAATATTATTTTTCATAGAAACTCATAGAACCAACTATATGGGTTTTTTAGCCCCCTTTTCACGCGATTTGCGTAATTTCAATGTATTTTACACAAACTGACCCGACCAACGTTGTTTTGCTATCTGTATACATTATTTCTAGCAATTATTTTTTCAGTTAAATATATGATGACACACTTTTATCGTTTTATATCTACCTCTTTCCAGTTTGACTAACCATAAAACCTTGTTTTCTCAGTTTCCAAACTACTATTTATTTTTAACTTCTTTGCGGTTTGGTAATCTATCTCTTTAGATTTCTGAACAATACTATTCATTTTCTACTCCTTTTTAGTTTGGCTATCTATAAAAGCAAGTTTCATTAGTTTTTCAAAACACTAATTATTGCAAAGCTCGTTCAAAATATTGATTTCTCTAATTATGACGAAAGAATCATAATCTTTGACATCGAAAACCCTCAAATTCCAATTTTGAATAGAATCAGATCATAATTATTAAACTAGTTATATAGCCATATTGGATTTGCCATCTTGACTTTCCAATCATAATCTCCGAATCCGAAAAGCCCCATCAGATAGCAATTTTGATCAGAATCGGATCATAATTACAAAAGTCGTCCGCCATATTAGATCTGACATCTTGACTTTCCAAAATTTGACGAAAGAATCATAATCTCAAAGCCCGAAAACCTCCAGATAACAATTTTGAACCGAATTGGATCATAATTACAGAAGGCGTCTGCCATATTTGATCCGCCACCTTAAATATCAAGAATTTTGAAGAAAGAATCACGATCTCTGACCCTGAAAACCCCTAGATACCAATTTTTAATAGAATCAGAACATAATTACAAATCCCTTCTGCCATATTGAATCCGTCATCTTGAATTTTCCAATTTCGACGAAAGAATCATATATCATTTTCAACCCCCAAAACCACCATATGCCATAATTTCCAATAGAATTGGATAGTGATTACAAAGCTCGTCCGCCATATTGTATTTCTTAATTTTTTCTTTCATAAGATCCTTCGATCTCCTGACAACAAACACAAAGAAAAAGAATGTGAAATCAGTCCATTCCTTACACGCGTGATGGCGCGTGACCAAGAAAAATAGGGATTCATTTTTATATAAACTGCTCGAAATAATCTAAGGATATTTTTGAACGCAAATGACAAATTTTCTTCGTTGTAAAATTTTTTTAACTTGTATTTTGTTGCTTCTAAGTCGAAACTTGTGCGGGGTCAAGACGAGCGCGACCTACAGCTTGTAGTGGGATTCGAATTTCGATTCATAGCGAAAACACAATATTCTGAAATTTTACGATAAGATTATATAAATTGACCGTTCGGTCAGTCTTCTAGTCGTATTCAGAAATATAATATGTCCCTAAGTTTTAATGCATCACCATTAATTCATTTGATAGTTCTTTGTGTTTTTTCCCTTCCTCTTTTCTTTCCTTTTATTTCTTCTTTGGGCATATTCAGATTGTTCTACTCAATGGCTGTGCATAAGAGATATTTTCAACAATAATTTCATTGTTTACAAGTTCAATTTTCATTATTGATGAATTACATTTGACAATGATGTGATTGATATGTTTATAATTCCTCTGGTGTGCCCACTCTTGAATTGTTTTGTCAGACTAGCTCTCGATATGAACAATTGAATGCGAGTTCGGAACGTGAGGTTCTCATACTCGATGATAGATGACGTGAACGATGGAGAATTTCTTGAAAAATGTTTATTTTGAATATTTACGAAAAGTGAGTAAATAAATTATTATCACAGGATTTTCTTGAGTTAGGACTTCGTGTCGTTCATGAATTCATCATTGAAAGTCGAAAACATAACGCACCGTTTCCATTTACATTGAGAATTATGAAAATGAAAATGTGAACTCAAATGGATGTGTCATGATGCCTGTAAATTTGGTTTGAAACTTCTGAAGATTCTCCCACCCGATACAAAAAAATCCTATGGTTTGGGATTCTCCCACCCTTCGCTATTTTTACAAAGTAGGCGATATCGAGAGATTTCGAAACTCGTTTCAATAGGAAGATGCTGTGATAGTATAATCCTTATGTTATTTTGATCGCATGTGATTTATTTCTATTGTTAAGATGAATCCGTTTATTGAATGAATAAATATAAAACATTTTTCCAGGCTGCGTGGCTGCAGCTTTTGTCTCCCTGGTGTGCTGGTCGCGCCAGGGCTGGGACATAGCCGACAACCCCGCAGCCACGGCCTTCGAGATCTTCTGGATGATCTTCGAGCCCATCCTCTTCGGTATCACCGGAGCTTCCATCAGACTGGACCGATTGGACGGCGGAATAGTGTCCGTCAGCGTCGGAATTCTCGTGGCTGTGGCTCTCATCAGGATAGCAGGCACGGTGTTGTTGGGCATCGGGTGCAAGTTGAATCTCAAAGAGAAGATCTTCGTGGCTATCTCTTGGATGTCCAAGGCCACAGTGCAGGTGAAGATTTGTTTTTGTGATCATTGTACTCTTGTTCTCGAGAACCCTTAGGGATATTTCTTTCACATTCCCCGTTAAACCCAGTTAGAGTATTTCGGTGAAAGTGGTGGGAGGCAACTACTTCATAATGACGTTCAAAATTAACTATTTTTGAATTCCTATTTCTTTCACTTTACCCACTACAAAAGTTTACCCGTGTATCTCTTACTTCATCATCCACTCCATTCATTTTCAATTTTAATGTTCCTATCATATCCTCCATTTTTCACATGTATGAATGTGAAAAATGTTCAACTTCAACCACCTCATTCTATCGATGATTTATTTTTTCTCAAGAGAGAAGCCATTCAAATTGGGGAAGGCAACTAGAGAAACATTTCCAAACGTTCAAAACCTTCTCCATTAGAAAACGCAAATTTCCATTACGATCATTCGAGGGGAACGCAGGAGAAGGAAACTAGCTTCCGATATTCTCATAAAAACCTTTTCACCAAATGCGAAAAGTGCAACGTTGTTCTCTCAATTACGTTGTTTCAAGCCCTACTATCATGGAGACAGAGACTAGTTGAATCATATATTCTTCATTCGATTTTATGTTCAGAATAGTTCTTATGCATGCCCTCTTATATTATATTTAAAATATTGATATAATAGAAACTTTCATTCAAGGATATGTAACTAATTTGACTACTGTCCTTTCAGAAGTACACCGTCTTTTTGGAAACTCCAGCCTTCAAATTTTTTTCTAAATTATTCTGTTATTCTGGATATTAAACTACATAGTTCTCCCCAACAAAAATCGAAATTTGCAACAAAATATGTTCAGCGAGTGAGAGCGAATAAACCCTAATATATTTCCAGGCTGCTTTGGGGCCTGCTGTACTGGGCATGGTAGCAGCCCAATCCAAAGAGCACGAATACGGTGACAAGATCCTCACCACCTGCGTGCTATCCATAATGTTGACAGCACCAACAGGTGCCATCCTCATCACCCTTCTGGGCCCCAGACTGCTCACCAAGACCAAGTATGCCGTGGAACCGGAACAATGGAGGAGGAGTCACAGGCCCTCCATTAGGGACATCAGCATCATAGACGAGGAGGAGGAGAGGGAAGATACATCGGTTGAGAAGAAGGAGATTGATGAGACTGGGAGTGACGTCATATTGACTGTACCTGATGGTAATTTGAAGCATGAAGTTTGATTTTTTATAGTCACGGTTGGGGTGAGAATCAAACCCAAACACTCAAAAATCTCCACCAAACTTCTACTTCATTTAATATTTTCAAATAATAGTCGTTATCCACAAAACAATAACTTTTGGTGAGTGCGGCTCAAATATCAAACATGAAACAACTGTGAATTGTCAATATTGTCAAACATCAGTTGTTATACGTATCGTTAGAAAGACTATATAAAATGGAGTGGCGACAATAGACCTCAAAAATTGCTGCAATTACCGAAATGTAATTCGTGATCGAGTCATTGAATAGCTAAAAATCTGAAGGGTACCTCCCCATGCAGTAATGATTTTGCGCCTTGGAAGTGCGTACCTGATGTTATAGGTTATACATATTTATTATTTTCATTTTATCATCAAAATCATATGAGACTTATGAGACTTACGAGTCTCAAAAGACGAATTGTAAAAGTTAATATGCAAGGTTGCCGACGTATATAGAGTTTATTGTCTGATATTGTTAGATGTTTTGTATCCAAAGAGCGAAAAACAGTGAAAAAACTGAAAAAAGTTACATAGAATGAGTCGGTCGCACCTCCATACTTGATGTCTGACCAATCAAAAAGTGCATCACTATTGTCGCCACTCTTCATAAAATCACTCTATACGTATCATTATCTTTATCTCACCACTATCACCAACATATAGCAACCAAAATAAGACAATCATTGATTTTGAGAAATAACTATATTATCAGTATGGGTGATAACTTTGTAAATGAAACCGTTGCAGAATATTTTTGGAAGTGATTAGTTTCGGATCGTAACCGTACTTTCAAGTAGTTTTTTAATATGTTTGTGTATTCCTATATAGGTAAAATTTATTGTGTGATAAATATAAAGGTACCCTTCGCATACCAAGCTTTTGTTGTCGGCACTTTCTAGGAGTGCTGAAGACATTTTAAAACATATTTTTATGAATATGAAAATTGTTGATATTATCGAATTATGTATAATAAAAATTGTTTTAATTAAACCAGTCTGAATTTATTCGGTCCTTGATTCTTCATTTTACCGTGAAACTGCAATGACTTTGTAGAAATAATGTTTTTTATCAGTACCCTATTCTGCTTATTGTTCTGATCCCACTTTCAAAAACGAGCTTTTTTTTTCAAGTTACCTATCATGCCAACATCGGCGACCCGAGAAAAAAAATTGACAGTAGTACCATGTAACGTCAAATAAAATATCACTAACAAATGTTTCAAATCAATAATTCTCTTCTCATTTCCATGACAACAATGTCAAATCACAAATTCGTCCATTTCACATTATTAGTTGTTATTTCTATTCTCTGGAATGATAATATTAGTATTTATGATCTGAAAGTGTGCTAATAAAATGAAGAAGCTTAAGGATTGCATGTTTTGAAGACTTCGATTCATTTAATTATATTTCAATATACTATTTTCAAGTCATGGTTCTAGATATTTTATCTTTCATCTCATGATGGCTATCATTTTGAATGATGAAAAGTACCTATGAATTACCTATTTAAATCTCTCAATGACAGACGGCCATTTTTGAAAGTATTGAAAAAATTATAGTATTATCGATTGAATCGGTTTTATTCTTCTAATTTCTTATAAAAGTAATAAAGTTTAGAACAAAAAGATTGTGTTACTATACTGTTTCATAACAAAAAAAAACAGATTCCTGTGAACTTTCTTACAACTAAAAATGAATATCGTATGATAAAATCAGAGATAAGTTACCCCACTAACTTATCTCTGATAAAATTAACAAAAACACAAAATATCACGACTTTTTGATACATTCAGGTAATTCACATTCCTTGACAAAAAAATGAACTCTAAGAGACATGAAAGATCACAGTTGATCAAGAATAATAATAATAATGAAAAAAATACATCAAAAAGATCAATTTGGCCAAGTTTTGTCTAACGTCTCATCGCTTTTTTCAATGTTTTCATCACCTATGTAGATACTTTGGATACTATCCAAAAAAGCATCAACATCAACTTTTTTCGCAATTCTTTTCACACAATAGATGGAAACTTTGTAATTGAGGTCTCCTACTTCGGTGCAATAGTCCTGCAGCAAGTTCTTGTGCACATAGAAACAATGATGCTCCACAAATTTCTGGTCTTCTTTTTCTGGTTTAGCAATGCACACGGACTTGTAGGTCAAGGGTGGACAGGAATTGGACACCGCTTCATCTTTGCAAAATTCCAGTTTGTATGAGTAGTTCTTGGCATTTTCGGGGGATCCTACGTAGTAAACAGCCCATCTGGTCATTCCTTGAAGAAAAAATTGGTGTGAATGATTGTATAAAATCATGGATTTTTTTATCACTTGGAACGCACGAGAGGAAATTCCTATGATGTTCGACGAACATCGTGCGTGCTTAGGGAGGATAGAGAGAGGAGGAAATAATAAGTTCATGGGAATACTTCCATTGGCAATAAAGAATTCCTAAGCTTTGCCGTTCGACGAAAACAAGTTTTGGTAAAGTGTTGTTCGACATATTTCAAGGTTTCAAGGGCCTGTCGAGTTCGTCTGAACGGTATTGCTAGTGATGGAATGATAGCAGAGAAATATCTATAAAGAAGTGAAAGGTCGCCGACTTTTCTACGGTGTTCTAAGGTGGTTGAAGAAGGGATCTTCTCTGGATGTACCCTAAGAGCATCAAAGTTTGTTTGGGTGCCGAACCCCATATACCTATCTATATCTGAGAATAGTATTCTGAAACTGGCAATATCTGTGCTTTGAAAAGATCATGAGAAGCTGTTGGGTGCAAATTACGTAGACTTTTGCGCACTGAATAAAAATCCGAGTCACTGTGAAGCCGCTTTCGCGATGGATTGGACATGATTCTCCCATGAAAGAGTATTGCTGATGAAAATACCGAGCACAGTTATAGAGGACATCGTGGAAGTGGTGGCACCAGACATTAATATATCAGGCATATTGAGTTCCGCCTTTCTAGAGAAAATACAGGCTTGAGCTTTGGTAGCGTTGGGATGAAATTGGAATTTTGGAATAGAACGTAGTATGGAGAGTACTATCATCTGGAAAGCTTTGGATAGAGTAAGTGGTTACTTCCAACAGATCATTGTGATATGAAATATGAACAATGTTCCGGAATTAGTGATGGCAATGATACCAGGCAATACTCCGTCCACCACCACGTGGAGCGATCTGCCTAAAAGAAAACTTGATGAAAAGTGGCATATCTGAATAAGTATAGCACGATCGAATGCCTTCGCTATATCTAACGCCCCAGCAAAAGATTCCCCGTGGTTTTCTAATGAAGCTTGCCATATATGGGTGATATAGGCAAGTAAATCTCCAGTTATCTTCGGTGGCGAAACTGGCGGAAGCCATATTGTCTATCATTGATGATTTTTGAGCTTTCCAAATATTTGATGAGCTCAATGTTGATGCATATGGCTCTTTCCATCACTTTGGAGATGACTGATAACAGGGCAATTGGCCTATAGTTACATGTTGGACAGGCTTCTGTTTTCATGGATTTTGGGAATAATTGGTTAGACCCTATAGTTATTTTTCAGCAAGATGGAAAAATACCCGACTTGATAGAGATGGTAAATAGCTTGCAGAGAAGTGGTGTCAATGTTGGTGCAGACTTCTTGAGAATAATGGGAGGTATTCCATCAGGACCATTAGACTTATTCGTTTTGAGACCAAGCAGAATACGCCTGATAGTGCGTTGGCGAAAGACAATTTCCGGCATTTGACTTTCAACGGGTGGAATGTCTGGCGGCACTCAAACTTAGCAATCTAAGGTGAAGTTTGCTGCGGACATCTCTGCAAAAATTTTCGCTTTCTCTTGCGATGTTGTTGCTAATGTGCCGTCGTCGTTGTAGAGTGGTTGGAATGACCTATTGGTAAAATTCCTTTCGATTGCTTTAGCGAGGAACCAATACGAACGGGAGCCATTTAGACAGTCTATGAGTTTTGATCTTATTCAATTCAATTCATTCAGGGAAGGGGGATCTCGTACCCTTTTTATAGTAGGTCGAATAGTACTAATAGTAGGTGTTACTACTGAGATGACATGGCGGATTTGGTTGAAAGGAAACTGCATACATGTAGGGTACTTCTATATATTCCAATGGGTTCGTTTTCAATCTGATTAATTTCTAGTAAAATTCGTGTTGCTCACCTGTAGTTTCGTTCAAGTCCCATGTTAATCTGAAGAATTCTTCGTAAGTAAAAATGACAGCATAGATGTAATGGTAATTCTCGATGGCCGTAAAACTGCGTGAAAGGAACTTCTGTTTATCCTTGAGGTAAAAATTGAGCGAATGCTTCTTGGTGAGGTGAGCTTTCAAAGTCGTCTTACTTTGATTCCATTGGCAATTATCGTAAAATCTGAAACAGAGAGATACAGAGATGAATGACTTCAGTACCTAGCGTCGAAAGAACCTATTGATTTCCATTTTCTTCCTATGTATGATCAGAAAATAGAAGTGTGAAGTATGATATTTTCAGTTACTTCATGGGTGATGAATTATTTTTTTACACCGGTGCTATAACTACTTTGATATTCCAAGCCAATTGAACATTTATAAATCAATCAATATCATTATTACCCAGAGACCAAGATTATATCCCGAAGGTTCAGCCAAGGGATATAAGGGTCTCGTGGTGATAATAATAGTCTTCACTATACCAATTTTTATTATTATTTTCGTTAAAACAACTTGTTCGATTCGGAAGTTTTTATTTTAAATGACAGGTTATTTGATTCTGAACATTGGTGTGCAATCTGTATTCGGATAAAAACCTCTTTTTTATACATACCTGGTGTAGTCATTACAGCGTCTTTTTTTTCATGAAATTTGTAATACTCTACAGAGTATATAATTGTTACACACTATGGAGTTAGAATTGGAATCACACATTAGCCTTATCTTCGTTCGACTTTTTTTTTCTGATTCACTCACAAGTTAAACGAAAGGGTCAGTAGCGAATATTTTCGCCGCAGGCACGAAAAACATCTTGGCAAAGAATCGAAACCGAAAGCAGGCAAGTAATATTGTCATGACGATGAAATTAATTATGTCTACACCACCAGAAATCCCGGAGAGAGCAAAAATGGCAAGTCTCGTGAAAGATACGAAATCGCTTACAAATAATTACTCAGGCATTATAAATCATGTTCATTTCTGAAAATATTCTGATACTTTCAACAACTGCGTCATTTTCAGTTAATGTCAGTGAATATACGAAATCGCTTACAAAAAATTACTCAGGAATAATAAATCATGTCCATTTCGGAAAATATTGTGTTACTTTCAACAACTGCACTGTGACTACATGAAACCATTAGGATAATTTTATAGGTTTATCGAATTGGTTTCCTGTTATTGATAAAGTTGTTGAGATAATACGAAAAACGGCTTCATTTTAGTTGTAATTGAGGAAAATGGTTCGTTATGCAGTTAACCAATTAACAAATAGAAGAATTTTGATTTGTACCTTTTCATGCAGCTAGCTCAAAGTGACGAGAGACGTATTCGTATTTGTGTCTTAACACAATATCTGTACTATATCCTGGTGAAAGTATAGTGTAGTCGTAGAAAAAAGTATAGTACATGTCTCGAGTCGTAAAGCAATTACGTTTCACAACTCTTGTTATGTAATAACATACCTAAAAGGACAGTGGACCCTGGCATAGCTGCAAAACACCTGGTGCTTCTTGATATCCTCCCCAGGCAGTATAAAGTCGCATCCATAAATGGCGAACTTGCAGGGAACGTTCAATTTTCCGTGCACCCCTTCCAGAGCGTAATTCCTGGCGTTGTTGCTCTTGGCAGCTCTGCACTTGGGGCACGTCTTCACCTTCTTGAAGCAGTCTTCGCAGAGGCTGTGCCCCGTCACACAAAGGTAGATTGGGGGGCACATGTAGTGGTCGCAGACCGGGCACAGCAGCTCCTCCAAAATCGCGTCGGCGATTTCTTTGTCCATGGTGTTGCTTCTGAGATAGATCGTTATTTATTTGTGGGAATCGGTAAAGTGGTATTGTGAGCAATACCTACCACAAAGTGATGTCAACATATCATATAAAAACATATAATAAGTACCTACACATACCGGGTGACACAGGGTATCGGGCCACCCCTGTAACTTCTGCTTTCGTCATCAGATTTTTCTGAAATTCGGTACAGTTATATAAGCAATTATTTCGGATTTGATCACATTACATTCCAATATGGCGGACTTCCGGTATTTCTGGAAATGCGAGCAACTTTGTTTTTTCAAATGAATCACCCTGTATATTTTCACATATTCAAGTTCAACAGGTCGAAACAAGTGCAATCTTTATTTCAAATGTCATTTTTTCGAAAAAAATTAAATTAAAATTGTTTTTTCATTATACCTCGTGGATGAATGAGATGTGGTCAAGACTATTCATAATGAGTCACACATAACAGAAGAACATAATTTATTCTGAAAAATTATTTTTAGTGTCACTTATCCAGGAATCAATTCAGCCACATCACTTTTTGATCAAAAAATATTTTTTTTCAAATGGAACCCCTATGGGCCACCTACCCGTTTCTCTAGAACATACATTAAGGAACAAAATGAAATACCATTTTTGTTTTTCGGTGCAGTAACAAATTGTATACATTCAAAAATCAACAACTAGTCATGAATTTCCTTGCAGTTAGAATCATTTTTCAACTAGGTAGGCTGTGGAATGAATGACATTTGATATCAAGATTGCACTTGTTATGACCTGTTGAACTTGAATATGTAAAAATATACAGGGTGTTCCATTTGAAAAAACAAAATTGCTGGCATTTCCAGAAGAACCGGAAGTCCGACATATTGGATTGTGACGTGATCAAATCCGCAATAGTTGCTTATATAACTGTACCGAATTTCAGAAAAATCCGTTGACGAATGCAAAAGTTACAGGGGTGGCCCGATAGCCTGTGTCACCCGGTATATATCGATAAGATAAGATAAGATTTATTTGTCATCTCTTGATGGATATACAGTATATTTTAGCTTATTTTATCGCTTGGAGCGCACGAAAGAAAATCCCTATAATGTTCAAAGAACATCGTGCGTTCCTAGAGAGGATAGGGACAGGAGGCAGGTATTGGAATTTTTTTTGAACTTCTGGAGATTATATGACAGTGTGACCCACTTCTAATGGAAACACCTCTGTATCTTCCGTAATCGTTGGGTATAAGGATCCTGAAATTCGCTGGAGCGAGAGATATACCAAAAATGCACTATATATGACCAAGTGGGGTTATCTTCAGTGATATACACTGCTCGCCAACAGCCATGGAACCACCCCCAATTTCCAGAAAATGATATTAGGAGTCAAAATAGGTCGAAAATCACTTCAGGTTCGGAATTAGGACGCCCAATCCACTCTATTCATATTCCTCCTGAAAATTTTTCAGTTCTGAAATATTAAATTTTGTCGCACTTTTTTCGGAAGCACCCCCGTATCTTACGTCATTGACTTTATCTTTGGACTTTTCTCTCCTACTGCAAATTTAAGAACCCTATCTCAATAATTACGTGAGATACGGGGGGGTGCTTTCAAGATAAGTAAGACAAAATTCAATTTTTCTAAACTGGAAATTTTCTAGGAAAACTATGAATATTCGTGGTGAATGGCATTGTACGCCATCGGTTTTTCTGATTTTCATATTTTCATTAGATTGAACTATTGAAATAACAACTTTTTTATCCTTCATTGTGAGATTTTTGTATCTAGCTTAGTTTTCGAGGAAACAATAAAAATTCGATTTGACAAATTTTAATGTATGTATAGGTGTATGTGTTTTCAAGACTTCCATTGGGATTACTTAATAACCCCAATTAGAATCATTTCGAGATTTTGGGGCTTTCTCAGTCTCCATCCATACTGAATTTTGGCACCATGAAGGCTTATACAGGGGGGTTATAAAAAACAATCAATACTTCCAACTTCAATAACATCCTGTATCTCAAAAACGGAGCAAGTTAGGATCGACACATATGTTTATATGAACTTTATTTGCTAGAATATCACAATAAGGAAACACCCCTCGAATCTTTTCGGTGTTATTTACATACACCCCTGTATATATAACAGATATTTAGGGTGTACAAAAACAACAATATATATCCGACATCCTCCGATTCGGATCCATTAATGATTTTCTCTGTTACGAAAATTTGTTCAAAATTTTTTTGTAGACGGTAAATTAAATATATGATATTCAGTGCTATTATATATAATCGAAACTTCTTATATATTATATATCATTATTAGCTTAGGACAAAAGGAATACAAATTTATTATTAAAGTTACGATATCTCGCAAAGCGTGGGGTCAAATTGTGCTTTTCTGATAGGTGATGAATCTATTATTTAACCCCAACTATAGAGTGTATGATCCATATATATATGGTTTATTTGGGCACACTGTACCTATATATAAATGATTTGAAACAAATGTATAACTTTAGGCAGAAAAAAGAACTATTATATTGCTCTAAATTTTAATCTGATCCTCATTAATTTGATTTTCAGGCACCATTCGATCCTACTATTCAATATATTTTATAACGGAACGATCGATATAATGAAACCATCATCAAATAATATTATTGTATCTCATTTGAACTCAAAACTGCATTGAACCTGATGTATACGATGATCCAAAATAACAAATATAAAATACTGAAATGATTAACATCAGACAATTACCTGCTTTTCAAAAAAACCAAATTGTTGCTACATAAACTATGATCGACTAGGTACCTATATTAAAACAATACACCACAGTTCCAGTACCACACCAGCACACCACGTTTGAAATGCACGATATATATAACAATCACTATACTGTCTACTAACGAATCTGTGGAAGAAGGGATATTGAAGATGGGGTGCGAAAATGAATCTGTTGGGCCACAGTATAATATCCTTTCTCTCCCCTAAGCAGGTAAAAAACCCAAATTAATGTAACCAGAAGCATAGGTACTAGCAATAGGTATAAGAATAGTGTTTTATACTACCTACCTATTATTCATCCTCACAAACACGATCAATCGTTGCCAGAAGTATAATGTAGACTTTAGCAACAACAAATACTGATACCTATTCATGAAAATATATTATATACGTTTTGAATTTCACAATTTTATTGTCTATATTTTATCATTCAATAAATTTCAGGTATATTGAATATTGAATGCGAAGAGGGTATAACCAACTCCATGACGGTCCAGTTCATCCACTTGTACCCTTTTTGTATCAATGAAATGTATGTAGGACATAGGGTGAATTTGCAGAAATATAACCCCTAGTCACCTCTCTATAAAAACAAGTAGAAATCCCCTGTGCTGTAGATCGTAGATCTGAATATTCTCAAATATTCATCAGTTCTACCAACCTTACGGTAGATACAAAATAATCAGCAGCTCTACCAACCTTGCTATAGATGTTAATTAGCGCCACCTAACATTCAAGTTATGACTCCTGACTCCTGTTGGACTCCTGTTTACTTCAAATCAAATTTCAAAAATCTAACCTAGAAATTAAATGAAACCGTCAAAGTTTACCAATGGACTAATGGAAAATTAAATTTAACCATCTCCTAATATTGCCATTCCTGACAAGAAGTATACCTACCTCTACCTACTTAACTTACCGAATCGTGAAATTAGCACCCAGACCAGAAAACCAAGAAAAACAAAAGAAGAAGAAAATAAATGCTGCCCAAAAACCCAAAAAGGCAAAAAAAATCAAATAAAAAAAACGTAGTGTTCAAAACAGAAAGTTCGGTTTTTGTCTCAACCGGTCGGAATGGCATATTCTCCTTCTTCACCCTACTTGGTCAAATTACAGGACCTGAAATTGTGGCAGTGCAATTATGATAACCTGCTGAAAACCAAGACAGATACAGCTCATCCCTCAGACTTTGAAACGATTGAGGGGCTCTCAGCCCTCGATAGCCCCGATCTAACCCCTCAAATGTCTCCTAGACAACCCTCAGTAGACTGGGACAAGAAAGTATTAACTCCTGCAAAGCCATTTGAACAGTTGTTGGAAGAGAAACTTGCAGAAGATCAGCCTGTTAAAGGCCAAGGGAAAGCTAAGAAGCCTTTCCTAAAGAAAGGTTCTGGTCTGTTGAGATATAATCTAGTGCCTAAACACTCAACAGGAAGGAAAGCAGAGAGACGCAGGGCATCCCATGAAGAAAAAATACATGATGTACCTAAAACAAGACCTAAAACTCCTATACAAAATGAAGACAGTGGTTATAAGGATCAGCAGTCTTTGACACCATTGAAAGTTCCAGAATTTTCAATCAGATCAAAAACTGCCTGGGTTAAACCTGATGATGAGGAAAATCATGAAAATTCTGTGGTTAGGGAATCAACTAATAGCCATCAGAAGAATGAATTGAATCCAGCAGGTTTTCATTCAAATATAATTGAAAGAATCAATGAATTTGCACTGAAACACTTATTACCTGTTAGTCCAAGAAAGTGTGTAAAAGTTTTATGTGAAAAAAATTGGTAAGTATAGGAACTTTCATTTTGCCTATATCCTGGGTAAAACTACCTACCAAGGTAATTGAAAATTATAATATTCCTCAGGTTAGGTCTGCAGACATTAATATGTAAAAAAATTAATTCATAAGAGTGTAAAATTATTCCAGATAAGTACCAGACATGATTACTTTTGTTGAAATATTTCAGTATCCCATTATCAGAAGTGAATTGTGCTATCAAACAAGATTCTGATGTATTCAATACAACTGAAAAAGAGCTGAAACTTTTTGAGGCTTTAGAGGAGTGTGCAGAAAACTCTAGTTTTTCTTCTACAAATTCCAGTGTTATGAGATTATTGTCTAGCACACCAAGCAAAAAAAATAATCTAATGAAAAGCCCTATACTGGAAGAAAGTACCAGGGAATGTCAGTTTCTCCAGAATAGGAGATTGAACCAGAAACTGAAGGAAGTCAATGAAAAATCTGATCTACTCAGTGATTTTTTGAACAATTTGAGGAAGATATCTAAAGACAAATATGCTGCAAAATCAGGTGAGTTGTGACAGTGGAGAGATCAACATTTTCCAAGGAATATAGAATATAGAAAATATAGAATGAGAAAGTAGGTACCTTCTAGGGGAGATATTGAATAAGGTAGAAAAAAATTAAATCTTTAAAATGTAAGACTATTTCAGTTTATGCTATACAGGTACAATACAAGGTTGACCATTATTTCTATTAATTCACAATACATTACATTGTCATAGTACATACATATCATAGGACTCCTTACATATTATATTTTGGTAAGTTTTTGAGCCCAAATTCACTAGGGGTTGACTTAATTTTTTTTCATCTCAAATCTTGTTGAATTTTAACTTCACCACTGGATACAGAATCCCTCAATCAGGGTAATCCCTAAATTCAAATGAAAAATAGTCATTAGCTAAGAGTTATAGTAACATTAATTATTATAAAAACATATTTCAAGATATCTGACAAATTATGGGAATCGGCAACACTGCCAACGAACCTAATTTATTTTATTTTGTTTTATCTCATAGCTCTGGCATGAATTAATTCATATGGATTAAGTCAGTGACTCAATTCCTGCATCAATTCAAATGACTTTCTGATGAGCCGCTTCACAGTTCCGAATTTTTCATTGCATGCAAGAATGAGGACTAATATTTTCACTCACCAGTTGGCGCTACTAAAATGTCAGGTTAATGTCAAAGTCAAACATTCCAAAATTTTGCCGGGTCTCAGATCAAGGTCTCAGATGGCCAGACAAATTTTGAATCACTGGTATTTCAATTTGAATGCACGCACCTCGGCACGCGCGTTCCTTTGGTTACCTATATCTTCCCAGAACACTTAATTCTTTGATATTCTGGTGGGAATTCAATATTTAGTTAGCTACCATGATCAAGATATAGTGACAGTGCAGTAAACAGCTTTGGGGTTTGAGAAGCCCAACCTGTGTAATGAAGATATACATTTTATTCTAAGAGATACATGTAAATTCCCATAAGAAAATGAATCTTTTTTTTGTTTTCTTCATATACTATACGTACTACTTTTCTAGCTGATAACTTGAACATTTTAATAATTAGTTTTGTATAAAATCGTACAGGATTGAGTGTTGTAAATATTTTTTTCAAAGATATGTTTTTTTCCATGAGAATTTCGCCATTCACTTATATGTCTGATGATATTTCATGAATTAAACTTATTATAAAATGTTCCTGTTTGTAATCATAAAGTAAATACATCTAAAAACTCATTTCACATACAACTCTGGAAATAATCCTAATGTTTTTCCTCCTGTTTCTAATTATTGGGTACATCCCAGGTACCTCAGACCTCCCCTGGGTGATAATGTAACGATTTTCAACCTGGGTGATGCCGGGTTCACCCAACCAGAACGTTTAATTGAGTATGATTGAGTTAAGCTACCTTGTAAAATTTTGAACATAATATGTGGATATACAAAGAGTAACTCTGCCAATCAGAAATTCAGAACTATTTCCATGGTTACCAATTCATTTGTCTCGTTTGACCCAATTTTCGATTCACCCACCGTTTCCGAACATACCCGAAAGATGCGTTGTTGTCAAATAATGCCACATTTCCTCGAATTCAATGAAACAGGAATTATTGACAATAATTTCACATTCATTAATATGTCGTTAGGCCAACATTTCGTTTCACCTAATTTTCTATTCGCCCAATTTTCGATTCGCCCAATTTTCGATTCGCCCAATTTTCGATTCGCCCAATTTTCGATTCGGCCGAGTTAGGTATGTTAGGCTAGGTAGTTTCCTTATGCAGAAAAGGATATTTTCCTTCCTTATATTACGTTGAAATTCGGGTCGATCGAAATTTGGGTCAATCAAAATTTGGGAGAATCGAAAATTGGGTGAATCGAAAATTGGGCGAATTGCGAGGGGAATCGAAAATCGGACGAATCGAAAATTGGGCGAATCGAAAATTGTTACGAATTGACAATTGAGCCAATCGAAAATTGGGTAAATCGAAAATTGGGCCGAACGCAATCTACCCAAACATAGCGCGTCGTGAAATGTTGACGTTCGTTCAGAACTACTCAAAAAGTAATCCATCGAATACAATTCGAACTTCAAACTATTCACGTTTTTTACTCTCAATGTGGAACTTTGCGACCAATTCTTACGATGACGGAGAAGAAGATATAGCAAAAGGCCAAATGACACGAGAAGAAGAAGTATATTTAGCCGTCATTGGTTCTACCACTACCAGAGATTATACACTACCAAAAATGACCTCATGTTTCTGTGGCGCGTTTTGATCATATACGTATTATTAATCAATTGGTAAGGTGACGATTCCGATACGGCACCTGGTGGGCAAATTTGAACCAGTTTAGGACGTAATTCAAGGTCATGTTTGTTATTGTGTTCAGTGGGTTTCATATTTTATGAACACCATTCAACAAATTACGTTAATTTTCTCTTCTTGCGTCTCTTGAGTACAAGACATGAACTTTATATCAATTGCCTAATCAATTCTATATTATTTTATTAATTAGTATCAACAAATCTCTGATAATACGCGAAATCAACTGTGTTTGGTTGCTGGTTGAACTAGTAGAAGGTTCCAATGGGTAAATGTAGGACCTATAATAATATGTCCTCTAATATGAATTTCCTGCACTCAAGAAGTATTTTCTGATAATGAAAAATCAGTTCAGTTGAATGGACAAACGTTGGTAATCCAATATGAGTTTGAAAACTGGATGTATGCAGCTCCAACAAAAACTTCCTACCTTTCTTCAATTCATTGGTCCAATAATGATAACAATAAGGTAAATTTGTGATTTATTGATATATTTATTACTGATGAATAACTCCTATTTGCAGCACCTATCTGAGAGAGAACATGATTGATAATGATCAACAGTTCATACCCTTTATGGGGAAATGTCTCCAGGACTTATAAGAAAAATAAAGAAGCAAATTCAATGCCTTTAACTTTTGAACTGCAATACACAAAGCTGGGCAAGAAAAAAGACATTATGAACATGTGCAGGTGGGTAATTTATGGTTTCATTTGTAATGCTTGACTCATATAAAAATCTTGTTCATGACATCCTGCCTAGGCCTCCATAGATTCCTATTTTGTAGTATCATCTTTGTAGTAAAATAGCCAATGCAAATTGCATGTACTTCCAAAATGATTAAGTGAAAATACAGCTCCCAATTACATTCATATGAGCAAAAACAGTAGCATATTTTATAGATATATAATAACCCTGGTACAAGCAGGTCAATCTTTGAACATACATTGAAGTGACACAATCTATTCCTATTTGAATATTTAGATGGTGTAATAGCTAATAGATATGGTTTGTTTATAGTAGGATTAGTAGGTACTAACATTTCTGCAATTTTTTAGCAGGGGAGGAGCTGCCATCCAGGGTATCTTGCAATTGAGTGCAAATAGTTACACAAATTGAAACCAAGACCCGGTACTAACATTTCTGCAATTTTTTAGCAGGGGAGGAGCTGCCATCCAGGGTATCTTGCAATTGAGTGCAAATAGTTACACAAATTGAAACCAAGACCCAGATTCCTTGACATTGAATTCAAGTTTTTAAGGCTATATCACTGATTATTTGGGTACTTGAACATATCAATGACATTTCAAATTGTATCTTGGAAAAATGTATTCATAATTTTAGTGCTTGTATGTTATTATTAAACTGTATTTATTCATAAGTAAAAGTTCTACTTTTTTTTCTGTTTTGTAATGTTTTATTGTAGGTTTTCAGAATTCATATTTCAATTCCACAACTACCACAATAAACACCTCATTCTTTTTTGATGCAATTTCAAAGTTTCACTTTATAATCTTTACTGATTCCTTTTAAAATAGGTACCTACCAGGTAGATACTTACTTTTGCTCATTGTTAATTTATTTCTACAAATATGAAAGTCCTGGATTTCAAATTCATTTATAATTGTAAATTTTTATTAAGGTTTCTTGTAAAATAATTCAGGGAAAAACAGTATACATGAGCACTGAGGGAAGGAGTATACTGGAAGATTCTTCTATTTGTAGGTACTTCTTTCTTGACTTCTTTGGGGTAACATAAGTACAGTAAAACACATGTTATGTCAATGTACTTTCATTTTTGGAAATTATTATTAATTTTAGTTCCAAAATATACAAAACATAATGAACTATACAGATTGATAAGATAGATATTTTCAATTAGATGAATTTAGGATTACAAAATGATATCAAATCACAAAATTTATGATAATATACTGTGTAAATACATTAACTGAAATCCTAGGTCATTTGATCAGTTTTATGTGTTGGAATTCCAAATTATTCAATGATTTCATCAATATGGTAAAAAAAACTAGCTTAAGATATTAAATGAATGGGGAAGACCACTGATTTTTTAAAACGACATTAAGGTGAACTCTATACTGAAAAACTACTAGTGAATTAATTTTGAATTTTTTCATTCATGCTAAGACGATGAAAAAAGTAAATGAGTATATGACCATTTCAAAACACACAATTCCTGCGCCATTTGAAATTTCATGAATTCATTGGTGTGACTGGTGCGACGTCTTAGTCCCAACACGCCTATTGTCCTTGAACTGGCCAATTACACTGCAACACTGCAGAATGACGAGGTATCAGAGAGAGATAGCTACAGTTCGGTACTAATACGTCACGACTCCACCATCATATTTGGCTGTTTGAAATATCGAATGAAATATGCTGATTTCAAAACGATATAGATTCGATTCCCTTCAACTTCAACTCATAATATTGATTGTACATAAAATGTAGATCATGATTCGTCGATTGAAAGAGGTTTGCACGGATTTCTTCCCTCAGTGGTCTTCCCCATTCCAAGAAGAAAACTCAGTCTAGGATGCCACCTACCTCAACTCTAAGTATATTAGGAATATTCACATTATGAAAAGTGTGTTATATGGATACAATTCACACACATGGTACATAGGATCATGACAATTTGCTGTTATTGCAGTGGAGCACCATAATATATGAGGTATGGGAGTTGCACTGTAAACAATCCTAAAAGCCTGGAAGTAATATTGTTGAAGATAGGCCATTGATGGTTGTATCTACTATTAAATCCACAGTAATGTCAGGATGCCTTTGGTGTTGAATTATTTCTTGGTTTAGATTCATTAGAGCTGGTTGCTGCTGATTTCTCTTGTATGGATCAATTGCACATGATTCTGATGGCTATAATATTCAGCACAAAATAGTCGAATAGGTTAATACATTGTTTAGGGATGGTTTTCAATATGTTCACAGAAGGCTGTTCACTGTTGAAAAACTCCACTCCTGGTATCACCATTTGTGGTCTGTAGGATCCTTTTGCTTGAAGAGTGGAGTTATAGAGATATGATGGTGAATATATCAGCTTCTGATGATAGTGGATATGCTTGTGATTTTTGATATCCCATAAAGCTGTCCCACAGAAATGCACTGGTTTGAAGAAAGCTCAGACTATTTGGTCCACGATTCAGTCAGTAGGTAACAGTTATTTTCCTCACATCACGATGAAACAGTATGATCCAACAAAAAATATTATGATTTCAGTAAAAAGTTCAACAATAAACACGAATAGCACGATGAAATATCAAGAAGAAAATTTATGCAAATCTCAAGAAATTTTGTAAACAAACTACACACTCTTTGCCGCCATCTTGTTTTGAAACAGCGCCCTCAACGGTCGATCACCTTGCCAATACGGATAATCTCTATCTGTTTCCATAGCGAAACATGAAGCCGATTTTTGAAGACAAATGACTATCCATAAGGAAAAGTGAGATACGATCAGACACATACTGCTTTGTTGAAAATGACACTAGTGCTTGGAGGCTTAATAAAAATTGCTGCAATTGTTTGGAAAATTGAATTTTGATTGATAAGAAAGAAATAAGTTGCATTTGCATTATTTATTATTTTTATTCGATCCATATCAAACCTAGTATTTTTACTTATTTGTGTTCTATTGTTTAGGTAAACATAATTTGATTTTTTCTTGATGAATTAATTCAAAAAGTCAGAAATTGCACTTTCTTTTCCTTTTATAAAAGTCAACCATGATTTGTCCACACTGCAGCATTGTTGCCTAAGGGGGATTATCCGAGGGTTTATCATCAGATTTGGCGATTGTTATGTTGATTTTTCGAAATAATTGGGTATTTTTGGAGTATTTTCCTAAAAAAAGTTCATATAGTTTTCTTATTCAAGTGTTTCTTTAGTTTTATTGGTCACAAAATTTCATGAAACTAATGTGGCAATATGTAAACATTTTTTAATTGGCAGCATTGTTTGGTAGTGCACAAGTTTTCCGCCATGATTCAAACGGTAATCAAAATGACAAGTGTTAGCGAAGGTTATTTTGTTTAGGCAAAGAAAACCGTGAAATTACTCCAGATACTAGTTTCTCAGAAGAAGAGAAATCCTCCACGAACACCGACACTCGAACCCATTCACCATCCAGTCTTTATACTGATTTCGAAACCACCTACAGAGAAACCACTAAGGTTGATGCGGCAGTGAACACTAGCGATTTAGAAAAACCGCAATATCCCCAAAACGATAAAGGTTGTTCTGAGTGCGAAGAACTGAAAGACAGTCTGAACAGGTTGAAAAGAGAGGTTCCTGATATACAAGCCGAGAAAGCTAAACTGTGCGATTTTGCTAAAGATTTGGAAAAGAAGCGGGATCAGCTCAGTAAAGAAATCGAAAAACTGAGGAAAAAGTATGATAAAGATATAGGAGAACTGCAAGAAGAGCTGGACAGTGAGAAAAAGAAGTTTTTAAGAGAAAAATCTATTTTCGACATGTGAGTTGTTTTATTACATTAGTATGAAATTGATTAATATCCGAAAAACACAAGAATAAAATGAAAACCAAGTATGTAAATAGAATGTCTGTTTAGTATATTATAAAAAACTTCTTCACTTGGTGAACTACCTAATAATAAGCCATCAATGCATCATCAATCGGTCTAGATGAATAGATGTAGTTTAAATTTTTCAGAAATTTCATAGGTCATATTTGTTTCAGCTCGTGTTTTAGTCATTATAATTTCAAATTCAACTGAATAACTTTCATAATGAATCGTTGCTGAAATGCTAGACTCAATAAAGTCAATCACCCAGCAGTGAAATAGAGGCAAAAATATAGCAGACGACTACATAATTTATTATTTGCATTAATTATTATTAATTTCAAAGCATAAGAATAATAAGAAAACCCATTTGATATTGCGGGTTCTAGCGGTAACATTATTTGAAAACAATTTCTACGTTTTTTCCCCTTGCACTTTTCAATAATTGTTCGATGCGGTGTTGTCACGTTTCCAAAATTGTTTGGGTCGTCAGGAAACTCAACTGATAAAGCATTTTTGTTCCTCTTGCATAATATTCAATCAATGACTTGGTATATTAATGGGAAACATCGTCTTCATTAGTAGCCAATGGAATGTACACTTCGAAAAGGAATATTCGGTTTTCAATTGAAGCTAAATATTGGTATTTGGTAAGAAAATTTCACACCGACGTTATAAAAAATGATACTTCTATTTTTGGCTGACTATATTTCACTAAAGTTGGTGGAGATATATTTTGTTACAAGGAACTCGACAGTATGTACAGTCGTATTCAATAAAGAAGCGTATAAGTATTGAGAAGACAGGTTTACGTCATCCTAGTTCTACACCTTTTCGAATTGTAATTCAGATAGAGTCAAGTGTAATTCAGACAATATCATTTGTAATTCAGATTATTTAATTGAAATTCAGAAAATATCAAATGTTATTCAGATTAGTCAGTTTTAATTCAGAAAGCGTCAATGAAAATTCAGAAAGCGGCAATTGAAATTCAAAAAGTGTCATTTGTAATCCAGAATGTATCATTTGTAATTAAGAACTGGTCAATTGTAATTCAGATTAGTTAATTGAAATTCAGAAAGCGTCCGTTGAAATTCAGATTAGTCACTTGAAATTCAGAAAATATGAATTTTAATCCAGTTTGGTGAATTGAAATTCAGAAAATATCAATTTTAATTCAGATGGTAAATTGACATTCAGAATTAGTCAATTGAAATTCAGAAAGATTCATTTGTAATTCAAAAATATTGAACAGTGTTACCTTCGCTTGTTGAGCCAAGCCTAATGAATGTAATAGATTACAAAGCAATAGTTTTCTCGTAAATCACGATTTCTATCATAACTTCTCCATTTCACCTATTAAAATTTATTTCAATTCAATTCCATAATAATTCCAAATTCTGAATTGAAGTTTTCCGAATTTCACTTGACTTATCTGAATTGCATTCGATATTTTCTGAATCTTAATTATCTAATCAGAATAACAATTGACACTTTCTGCATTTCATTTGAGAATTCTGAATTACAATAATTGAAGCTTTCTGAATTACAATTGAAAAAGGTGTAGTTGTATAAAACTGGCTCAGCCAAGGCTTTGTGTTTTTGAGAACCTATGACAACTTTACTGTCAAAATTTGGTAAACAATAATTATAGGGTGACGTTAATTTCTCTATGTAATATTCTTGTACGGTATTTTTAAGAAACCATCCCAATACCATTATTTCCTTCCCAGGTATTTGAAAGAGGCTCAAAACAGACCCAACAAAAAAGAGCGGGAAGAAATATCCGGGCTAAAGAAAGAACTAGCCGACATAAAAGAACTTTTGAAACTCAAAGACACGAAGAACGGAGCCACTCAGGCCAGGTTGCGCAACCACATAAAACAACTCGAAAAAGAACGAACCGAACTCAAATCCACCGTTGACAGTTTGCAAAAGGAGAACTCGAAATTGAACGCGATACAAAAAGTGCGCCGGCCAGCGGAATCCAAAATGCTACACGAAATCAACAAAAATCTGTCCAAATTGACAGAGGAGAGTCTCAAAAGTCAGTTGAACAAATCTGATTCGTGCGGCAGCAAAAAAACTTCGTTGGATGATGTCAAAAAGGGGAGGAGGAAAAGTACAGGGGATGCTAGTGGGAAACCGGATAGGGAAATTATATCACCCAAAGTAAGTCCAAGCAATGACAGTAAACTTCATGAGTTCGATTGATTTGAGTTGTTTATTTATACTAATATTATAAAGAGGAAAGATTTGATTGTTTGTTTGTAAAACTGGTGGGGAGGTAAATTAGAACCAGGAGATGGTTATAGGATACCTTTTATCCCGGTACCATTATGAAATTCAAGATGGCGGATCTAAATTATCGGACGACTTTTGTAATTATGGTCCGATTATTATTCAACATTGGCATCTGGGGGTTTTTGGGGGTCGGAGATGATGATTCTTTCGACAGAATTCGAGAATTCGGGCGAAATTAGGAAATTCAATATGGTGGAACCAATATGGCTGCCGAGTTTTGTAATTATAATCCGATTCTTTTCAAAATTGGTACCTGGGAGTTTTCGTGATCGGGGATTATGATTCAATCAAATCAAAATTTGGGTCAATGAACAGACAATAGTATACCTCTAGTCTACTAACTAGGTATTCATCTAGAGTGACAATGGTTGAAATACAATCCGTAAGATTTTACTTTTATTTAAACATCTCAAGTTTATCTACTCCAATCTGTAAAAATGGAACAGAGAAAAAAATAAAGTTCGTGTTTTTTTCAGTCGAATAGGAAGCCTCTACCGAATTTCAAAAGGAGGCTTTCTGAAGACATAGATTCCGTCATTGAGGACAGCAACGATGAACATCAAACTACCGATAATGGAGATTTTTCTGTAGAAAAACAGTACGAGACTACATTCGGACAGTCTACCGAGGCCCCGACTCGAATCAATATGAAGGAGTCGAAAGAAGGTTGGTAAATCGCTATTTTTTGAAATTAACTCTCCGTTATCTGGTTTTTATATAACACAGTATAGATCCTATGAGTTTTTTCCCTCTTTGCTGTTCTTATTTGTTTTCTATACAGCTTAGATAGTTTTCACTCCAATATTATATCAAACTCTCCATCATGATAGTATTTTATCAAAAATAAAAACGCTTGCAGCCATCTGAGGAATCCTGTTGTGAAGTGGGAACTAATAAAATGTCCTTTAGGTTCTCGTATTGACATTTCAATTGCAGTAACTGTAAATCACTTTGTTGTGTTAACAGACAGGTGAATTTTGAATTCTGGTGGACAATGTGAGTCAACGGCACAAGTTATCAAAATGCACATAACCCTATTTCAATTCGCTTCTTCTTATTTTAGTGTGTGACCTCTTTTTTACTGGTGATTGCATCATATTTCGTATGACAGAGTTCAGACACTTATTCCCCTATTTGGGGACATCTTTCTTCAAACTTTAAAAAGGCCAAATATTTTTTTATAGTGATCATTTGGTTGCCGCGTTAATCCACGATATTTCATAGAATGTCTGTGAACTGTAGTAAATAATTGGCCATCCAGATTAATTATTTTCTCGATATTTTTTAGTAACTAAAACTACAAAGGTCTTTCCGGACGGATCAAAGGAGATCAAATACAGCAACGGAAGCTGGAAAACCGTATCTCCTGACAGTCAGTTGATAACCTTCAAGTACTATAACGGTGATATCAAAGAGACCAATATGAAGGAAGGTACTGTAAAGTACTATTTCGCTGAAAGTTCAACGTGGATAACGGAGTTTCCTGATGGATCGGAAGTGGTCGAGTATGCCAAGTAGGTGGAAAATTTACCAACAAATCTGGCCATCTGGCATCCATTTTTGTTGATTGTTGATTTTTATTTTGTCAATCTTGACGCCCTAGCAAATCCTGTAGATCCCGCCCTTTTAACTTCGCTCTTGTTTCAAGTTTCTCGAAGTTGGTTTCGTTTTGTCAAAAAAAATCAATCTATAAGAATATGATCACTAAAATAGATATAGGTATATTATGAAACTGACATACCTAGATATTAGTTTATCTAATTCAGAAAGCGCTGAAATTTTTTTGAGGATAACTTGAAAGTTATCTCATTATATTACCACGAACCATTTATATAGGATCGATAATGACGTCATGCGAATACATGCGGATTGTCTGACGTTTGAATTACCCAGTGGGCGGAGCCTCAAACGGAATGGGGATCTTGATTGGTCCGTTAGATATGTGACATGAAGCCAAAGTGGAATGGTGGGGGGTGGCTATTACCCGGCTATTCCTACTGTTACATATATGATCATTATTAATATAGAACGGTACATGCTCATGGCACCAGGACCTTTCAGGTGTATTGAGGATTGCAGAACTCCCATTTTATACTTATGCTGAAATGAGTATTTGGGCATTTTTGAATGATTATACTATTTTGCGTTTATATTTTTGTATTTGAATATTGCTCATTGCACGGTACGCCTATTCAATGAAACCGTAGCAACAGAAAATATAACTTCAGAAAGCAAATACTGGTTTACAAAAACAAAATTACTTCAAGTCGTCTCCATAATATTAAATACAGCCATTGAACTTGTAGAAAGGTCATAATTTAGAATGATACCATGGAATGGTATTTTCTTTTTGATGATAATTATTGAAAATGGAATGAATGATAAGTACTATTCAATTGATATCCGATCTAACCTCTTAATAAGTGCTTGTTCAAAGGTCGTTAATTTGATTGGATATTAGAACGCCATAAAAATGATGTGGGAATCCGTTTTTTTTTTCATTGTGTTCCTTTTGGAGAGGGGATAACATATCGACATATCGATTCAATTTCTATTCTGCTACCTACAGGCAGTTTTTGGATCCAGGAAATTCATTGGTGCAATCAGAATTGAGCTATCTCCGCTCTGAAAATAATTTAAATTGTGTCATCGGTCATTACATACTATAACCAAAGATGATACGAAGTGATGATGATCATCGTATCGTCTGATACCATATCCATCAATACAGGTGTCCGACAAAGATTCATTTTGGCTCCAACATTGATCCTACTCCATATCCACAGCTCTTCAGATGTACTAGATGTACTAGTACTAGAATTGGAGCACTGTTTTCTCATATGTGGTTTGGCACCCAAGCAAAGTTAGATTCCACTCGAGACACTCGCCTGGTTGGTGATACCACACTCACAAATTCATGGAAGAATTGGAATACCACAGAGAAGTCGATGACTCTTCAATTTTCTTCTTTCCACGGGAAATATTCTTCAGGAATATCTGCTATCATTCCATCACTAGCAACAAGCCCAGTCAGCACTTGCTTTTGTTGTCAACCTCCACAGTATCAGAATTCTTTGCTCAGGGTAATATTCCCAAAAACCTCTTGCCTTCAAAAGTACAAAAAATATACAGGGTGTTTCAGATTCAAATGTATGTACATACAATACCTGCACATAGAGGATACTTTGATGTTTCTAAATTACCCCCCCATTGATGTGGATACCGTATTTTATAACTGATGAGATATAGGACGTTATCTTGATTTTGGCAAAATCTTCATCTGGTCTTGATTTTTGAACCACTTTGTATAATCTTTTCATACTTGGTAGAAATATTCCACGTATATCACTCATCAAAACTAAATAAAAATTGAGATCAGAAACCAGGTCCGTCTGAAGAAGAAACAGAAAACTTCTTTTTATTTCAGAAACAACACTCTGTATGCCACATTTTGTAGAACTGTTATAATATTTCAAAAGAGCGGGACAAAATGAATAAAGTGATCTACATTTTACGAGCGCGCATCCAATTCGACACATGTTTTATTTTTATTTTTTGAAATGTTCAGCTCCAATTTTGATGATTTTTTATTGAACTCGTAATTCATAATCCAAATTTATTACAAAAATAGTAGTTCAACATCATTAGATTTTGATCTCGATTTTCATTCAGGTTTGATGGGTGATATGAGTGGAATATTTCTACCAAGTATGAATAGATTATACAAAGTGGTTCAAAAATTATGACCAGATGAAGGTTTTGCCAAAATCAAGATAACGTCCTGTATCTCAGATATAAAAGATGATAGACACATCAGTGGGGGGTGATTTGGAATCATCAAAGTGTCCTCTATCTACAGGTATCGTATGTAAATACATCTAAATCTGAAACACCCGTATAAAAATCGGATATAATAGTCCCAGAAGAAAAAGAAAATCTGTAGAGATATCGTTTCAGTTTGGACTCTGCAATTCAATGAGACAGTCTTTCGATCTAAAAAATCTAACTGCGTTTTTAATTGCAACACACGAATTTATGCATTTCCTCAGTGGTCAAAAGGAAAGGAAATACAAAGATGGGAAAATAGAAGTGCAATGTCCTGATGGTCGGTCGCTAACAAGAGGTTTGGATGGTTCCAATGAAATTTCTTATCCAGATGGTTCGAAATTGCTGCAAACTACCGACGGTCAAAAAATTATCATGTTTCCTAATGGACAAAAAGAGTTTCACACTAAAGAGCACAAGGTGGGTAAAATTTCATTGAAAAGTTGGACATTCACCATACCGGGTGTAAACGAATCTATTAGGCAACCAATAACTTTCAGAATAGTTGGTGTATCAAAATGAAATTCAATATGGGTCTAGGGTATGTAAAGAGGGAAGTATTTTTAAATGCAACACCCCGTATGTAATAAAATTTTTGAATCTGTGAGACAATTCTAGTTCAGAATATGACTGTTCGATAAAGTAGCCTGACTACGAATTGATGAAAATATCGTAGGCTAGAATTGTACTGTTAAAGTTGATACTCGAGAAGATTAGTGGACTGTAATGAATTTGTATCGAATTAAAACGGGCCTCAGATCATACCTTTGGTCTACAATGACTTTGGTGTTGATGGAGGTCCGGAAGTCTTCGGAGCTGAAGGCACTTTCAGGTGCTTCTCGTCGTGCTTTATCACATGAGACATCGCAAAATATCGCTAGCTCTCGGGCTATTTTGATACTTCCAATATTCTAAAAGTTATGTCTTGTCTAATAGATTTGTTGGCATCCGTATGCACAATTTGAATTTTCCGAATTCACTTTCATTCACAAAATTCATCAATGGTTTTTTTCTTGTAGAGAAGAGAATATCCTGATGGTACTGTGAAATTTATTTATCCTGATGGTACTCGAGAAACAAGATACAGTTCTGGCAGGGTCAGAATAAAAGATTCTAATAATGTTTTGATCATGGATACTCATGGCAGTTGATCAGGACTTTTTTTGTGGTGTTTGTTTTTGTACATAGGAACGGGTTTTATCTAATAACATGCCAAAATTTCCAAAGATTTTTTCTGAGCTATACAGGGTGTTGATTAAGTATATGACCAAACTTCGAGCGGTGTGTCCAAGTTATCGTTTTCTAATGAATCTAATAATCGCTGGATACCACTGATAAATTTCAGCAGAATTGTGTTGATCATTTTCACGATTTATACAAAAAAAACAATTATTTTAAAAATGTCCGACATCGTGTATCTTTCATTTGCAAAAATATGTTTATACCAACTTTCAGTCTAACAATCGCTAGAAGAATCACCACATGAAATTTGGCTGCATACTTGATTAACACCCTGTATAGAGTGTTGTAAATGAAGATGGGAATTATTTTTCCTTCGTTTGATCACCCCATTTTCGACAAATATTGTGATTGTTTTGATGAATTATCATTAATGAAATTCGGCATGCAATTGGGGAACACCCTGCATTTCTAAAAATTACATGTAATGTTTTATACAAATTGCAAATTGATCTCATGGAATTATTTAATATATTTTTTCAATAAAAAGTCAAAGAAAATTATAGAGATATTCATTGGTTTGAGCACCCTGTATATCATTGAGGAAAAATCTATTTTTTTCTGTGACGGGAAAAAAGTTTGGCATCTCATCTCTGTTGGCAGGTTATAAAATGTCACTTTTCATAAATTACTTTTTTCCCGTGGGAAAAAAATTAGTACTTTTTTCCCGGATATATATCACATATATATACTCTGTTGATGGCTTTTGTTGTGCTATAGGCTATAGTTCCGAAAAATGAGTCAATAATACCGTCTCCGAGAAAGAACTGCAAGTCCTTTCATCTTCCATTCGACTTCGCGGTTTCGTATATTACTAAACAACCACTGAATTCGCAATTTTTTAAAATCAAATCACAGAATTGAACTGACAGAAGTGACATCAGATATTTGACTATTTCAAAAGAATGATAAAGATGCCTATAAAACGCAGGTGTCCCTACTGTTAAAAACTTGAAATTTCACGTCGATAATTTTCAGATCTCGAAATAATGTAATATCTTCTCAATATTGATTCGTCTTTCCTTATGTCACAGAAAAAAATAGTGTATTATACACGGGAAAAATATCAGATTTTAGCTCACGGTTTTTTGTCTCCCTCCGCTACGCGTCGGGAGACAACACAACCTGGAGCTAAAATCTACTACTTTTTTCCCTTGTATAATAAATAACTATTATCATAAGTAATATCAGGATGTCCTGAATATTCGAGATAATGATGTTGCTTTATTGTTCACGAAATTGTGTTACTGTACGGCAACACAATTGAGTTAACAATGAAAGATAGAATTATGAGAAGATATTCAGAAGAGAGTGGTACTTTGCTAGACTATTTCACGTTCACGAAGCATAGAAAGCATTTAATATAAATGAGTTATTCATTCTGACAAGTACAGCCATAATAATTTTATGCCAAACTGACAGACTTCGCTTTGCTATCCATGGTTACATCCAAACTTTGAGTTGCTATTAGGTGTGGTTTTTTGGTTTCCCACTTGTGGCAGTAAAATTGACGACCAATATGTCGCGTGCAAGAACTGTCAGATGACCGACCCTGGAGGCAAAACATATTTATTTTGTTTACAAGTGATCGAAATAGTTTTCCACAATTATTTTGGCATATGAATCGTATTTTTCCGCTATTCATCAATTCGCTAATGCCATCACATTGTGCTGTTGTAAAATGCACAAAAACTGCAGCGGAAGATGAAGAAATCCGGATGATTCATAAGTAAGTACCTACTATAGTCACTCACATAGTTTTCATTTTTGAAATTTGGTTATTTCTCTGATTTCTCATCGGAATTCCTTCTGCAATAGGATCAGCTGATAGAAATATACCTGAAATTTCTAGAACAATGCAAGAAGATTGGATTCATGCAATCAATCGGTAGGACTGGTCTGACATGCAGACAATCGTGTGTGTTGTAGACATTTTCAATCTATTAGCAGCATTAGCTAACAAATTTGTTCTAAAATTTGTTCTAAAGCTTGTATTGCAGAAGTGGCAGAAGGCAGAAGGAATTTTAATAAGGAATGACAACATTTCATAATGCTAACTATGTGAGATTACTATTCACCTGAAAAATCATATTCCCTAGTCTCTTGCTGCATTTTTTGTGCATTGTACAACAGCACAATGGGAAGGCATGCTTGAATTAATGAATAACGCAAGAAACACGATTCGTATGCCAAAATATTGTGAAAAACTATTTCAACCTTTCGATTCCTCTGTAACCAAATAAAAAAGTGAGGTTGTGTTTCAATAATTCACAGAAGAATGAGGTTGTGTTCCAATATTTTGCCTCCAGGGTCAGTCTTCGTGCACGCGACCTATGGAACGATGTGATTCATTTTGAGAGCTGTGACATTCAGCTGATCTTTTTTAGGTTATATAATGATAGCATAATTCTGGGAGTTTGCTGTTCATCCATACATATTGATGAAAATAATTTATAATGGATGTTGTTCGCGCTTTCTTGTTATCCTCCTTAGTAGGTGCATCGGTTAGAAGGCAAAATACCCCTTAATACTTGAATGGATTTTATACTTGTATGAGTAGTCTTTCGATTTTATCTACAGGAATAATTGACTAAATGTATGTCAATACCTTCAGATTTTCTAGCAATATCATACCAAAAATTCAAAATTATGACGAATAAGTAATAACGCAAATGGATTTATCAACATTCAATAGTAATTTCAGAGGTCCAGGAGTGTTTGAGAGAATTCTGGGTTGAATTGTGAACAATTCGAAAATATCTCCTGAGGAGACTTCACTTTTAGGCAATTTCTGGGTCAGATTTTAAGGTTAGAGTATCTGAAATACCGCCATTTCATTTCATACACTCCCTCCACAATCGTCTTCCTGTCATTCCGTATGAAATGACGGAATGAAAAGTTGGAACCAGTTTCAGGATTTCGTTCAATAAAACGACATGAAGTGTCATTCCGGTGGAAGAATCTTGCCAATAAAATGCACCTATTGATGGTTACATCGTTGAAAACATGAACGCTGTCAGACCAATCAGAATTGAAAGACAGCTCATGTTTTCTCCATAAGCACATGTTGTCTCTGGCTTTATGATTGATCAGATTATGTGATGAGTGGAATAGTCCAGTGAACCTCATTATGGTTATCGGTAGATTGATTATTTTGTCAACAAACAAATCTAACCCCTCCGGTTGATACTGCTTGTACAGGGTTGCAATGCAAAATTCTTCTTCTAGGTTTTCGGAGGTATTATGAAAACTACTCGAAATGTTCATTCCGTGATGGTTCTCGATATACATGGTCTTTATTCGTTTCATCGGAATGAATAGCGACTTTGACTTCTCAAATGCCGTTCCATAAGCATGATTATTAACAGTACTGTGAGGTTGGTTTTTCTATAAATGGACTTCTCGATGAATCTAACATTTTCTAATTCAATGAAAGAGCATAACAATTTGAGAAATCAGAGTTGCTGTCGATTACGGAAATATTAGAGACTCTTTATATCGAAATTATTCACTGGATGGAAAGATCTATTGTTTCAAACAGCTGCTTTTGTGTCAAAAATTGTTTTCATATCTCGGGAAATAAAATAGTCAAGGGTAGTTCCATTTCAAGAGGAGCACCCTGTATGTACTATCCATATTTACTTGGCCGTAGATTTTATCGAATGGACAGATGATGTGAGCACACAAAATTATAAAGTCGTTAGTTCCCTTGTTTGTAGCTGAAGGTTAAGGGAAACATACAATACAATTATGGCCCTTTGCCTGATTTGTCTTTTGAAACCATCCCTTTATTTTTCGTGTCTTGGCTATTGCCCAATGACCTTCAACTGTTATCACTCGTCAAATCCAGGAAAACCAAGCATACGAGACTCTAAAATCAAAAGATACGGCGGATATTTGTTGCAAAGTCTAGCAGCCATTTTGGGAACAACCGAACTATACTACAGGTTCAGATCGAATAATTTTGGTGACGTTCAAACTATTTTTTCCTTCTCAGAGTTCGTAATAGCTAACTTAATCATCGGTTGGATCATCTCGTTGAATTTTTGTTGGAAGGAAAAGCTGGCAGAGCTCAAAGTGATGCTCTATATTTTCGAGTATCTGTTGAAATTCGGCGATTACGATGAAGTCACCAGGTTCTACAAAGACCGGTACTTTTTTTGCTTTGTGGGTATTGTTGTGAGTATGCTCAGCTGCGGCAGTAGATTTTTCTCATATGTGAGTAATGAGAATGGAGGTATGGCTACTTTGTATTACCTCATCAGCTTTCTTGTGGGTAAGTCAAGAGATTATCGATTGTACCCACTACAGGAAACAGTTTCATTTACTCATAACTTTCAATTCAGATTGAATAAAATGCAAGATTAATGCCTTATCTCATTTCGAATCTACATAGTTCATTTGTTTATGAATTTGAATCGAAAACATATACAGGGTGTTTCTTAAGTACGTGTAGAAAATTCAGGAGCATGTTGCTGGCGTCAAAACAAGAAGAAAAGTTCCTATGAATATATGACCGAAAGTTATTCGTTTCTGAGATAAAGTGAGTGTTAAAGTTGAATTCCTATTTTTGTTTTTTGTTAATAAACGATATGATTGTGATATTCGAATAAAATTTGGTATCTCGGGGTATTTTTCAATGAAAATATCAAAATTTCTCTTAGTTTGTCTCTTTCGTGGAGTTGGCGCCACCTACATGTGTTTGGAGTGTTTTGAAAAGTCATAACTTTTTTGTGCGTACCTGTATCACGTTTTATAGTTGGAAAATAGATTTCTAGAACACTTTTGTGTGAAAAATATATTCTTGGTAGAGGTCGCTGTGAGCAACTGTTTTCGAGTTATTGGGATTTGAAATAATCAATGCGAATAATTTGGAATGACAAGAAATTCAAAATCGGTATCGGGTGTTAATACAATTTGATACTTATAATAATAACAGTAATTAAGACCAAATTAATACTAAAACAGTTAGTTGAGGGAATTGATTGAAGTAATTGTTAAAATTGGCCAAAATAGTAGGTTCAAAATCAAATGCATCGACTATTTCAAATCCCAATAACTCGAAAACAGTTGCTGGCAGCGATCTCTACCAAGAATATATACACAATAGTGTTCTAGAAATATATTTCTCTACCATAAAATCTGATACAGGTACGCACAAAAGACTCAAAGGACATGTAGGTGGCGCCATCCCCCACGAAAGAGACAAACTTACATAAAATTTTATATTATCATTATGAAATACCCCTAGATACCAAACGTCATTCGCAAATCACATTCATTCTGGAATCCATTAACAAAAAACGAAAATAAGAATTCAACTTTGACACTCTGCATCTCAGAAACGAATAACTTTCGGACATATATTTATACGAACTTTTCTTCTCACTTTTCGGATCATCTTTTTGTGTAAGAGTCATACTGAGATACACCACATTCAATAATTATATGATACTCTTCGAGTCAGTCATCATGATAATGATGGAAGTAAGATATGGTGCGCGCATTCGGCCATTATTACGTATTGAAAATTTCAGAAATTTCAGAAAAATCACTCGACCGCCTACTATGATTTCTCTACGTCCACAACGAGCGAGACGTTGATTCTACGTTTTCCCGCTAGATGGTGATGCTGCTATTGCTGCTGTGACGAGTGAAAATAGAATGGCGAATGGCATTTTAGGTACGCGGAACATATGTACCAGTGGGATTATTCAACTCTAAATTCGAAAAATCTACGACAATTTCAAAACTGACAGATATCATAATTGTGCAATGTCGCCATCTATTAGAAGATCTACGGAACCATTGCTCTCGAGAGGTCGAGTAAAATTTCTGAAACAAAAGCGCATCAGTAATTACACCATATCTTACTTCCATCATTATCATGATACTTCTACAACCAATGACTATAATCTGATTTTTTTTATCACAAATGTCAGGATATTTGGTATCGTCATTCTACATCAGAATCTTGATAGACACCACCATATACTTGGGATTCTTCAAAAAAATCTCCAACCAAATAGACCGAGAGTTGAAAGTCAGACTGCAAAACACGGGAAACATTTCCTTGGTCCACAAAAACAACCATCATGAGGCCGACTTTCTGAGAAAAATGATAAAATTGCGAAGACTGTACTTGGCGATTCTGACGAGCTTCAGAAGAAGTAGACTGCTGCTGAGAAGCTTTATGGAATTTTCTACTGTTGGCAGCTATTTGCTGCTGATTTGGTTGCTTTTTGTTTCGATTATGAGCGTCAGCGGTATCGTGATTATCGGCTTGAAACAGAAGCTGATATTTATGAGATTCATTGTACAAATTGGGTTTGTGTACCTTTGGGGATACACCTGTGATCAAATCGAAAATATGGTGAGTAAAAGTACTTTTTCGTCGAAAAAATCACATTTTACGTTCTAATTTCCGAAAAACCGACTATTTCAGAAGGCAAGTACTTTTAGTCCGCAGACACTAACCCGCAAACACTTTTCGTCCGCTGCAAGGTTGCCAGTTCTACTGCATTTTCAGTAGATCTCCTGATTTCCATGTATTGATCTGGTGATCTACGGAAACATTTCATAATGTACTGTAAAATATTTTGACATTTATTTTTATAATTACCTATATTACTATCAACCTCTAGTTACACTTATGAATTGCATGATGTTTTGGCACGCTCAGTTTGAATTAATTTTACAAAATGAAGTAATATATATGTACAGGGTGGCCAACTAAGACTCCAGAGTTCGATTTCTCTGTTGTCTTGAGAGATACAAAAAAAATTCATGAATCAAAATTGAAGTAATAACCGAGCTCCACATTTTGAAATTTCTTTGAAATAAACAGGGTGTTCCGTAAGGTCACAGCACATCAAAGCTATGTTTTTTTCATCGGAACACCCTATATTTTATTTCATTTTTGAATTCTCCCTGAAGATCTGATTTCAACGACCCATCATACTTAGGGCCTAGTAGTTAGAGTTACTGACATATTGGGTGTGCAAAATCGAGATTTTCCAAGTTCAGGATTTTTTTCTGTCGAAACTGTTCATTATTCGTCAAAACGGTTTACATGTCCCTATCTCAACTTTTCACTCACTATCAATTGGTGTTCAATTGAAATTGATACAAGGTGGTCAAATATCTAAATTTATAATTTGTTTCAATTAAATGTCAATTGAACACCAATTGATAGTGAATGAAAAGTTGAGATAGGGACATGTAATCCGTTTTGACGAATAATGAACAGTTTCGACAGAAATACATCCTGAACTTGGAAAATCTCGATTTTGCTCACCCTATATGTCAGTAACTTTCACTGCTAGACCCTAAGTATGATACATCGTTGAAATCAGATTTTCAGGGAGAATTCAAAAATGAAATAAAATATAGGGTGTTCTGATGAAAAAAACAAAGCTTTGATGTGCTGTGACCTTACGGAACACCCTGTGTATTTCAAAGTAATTTTGAAATGTGAAGCTCGGTTATCACTTCAACTTGAATGCAAAACTTTTTTTTGTATCTCTCAAGACAACAGAGGTATCGAACTCTGGATTCTTAGTTGGCCACCCTGTACATATAGGTACTAATGACATGTATAAACCAAAAAAGGGCAATACTTTATCTGACTCAGATCAAATTCAACTTTCCATATACCTATCTGTAATAACAGGTTTTTTCTCGCGTTCAATTTTTTTATCGGTTTCGTATTTTTCTTGTTAATTTTTAGTATTCGTTACTGTTTTTTATATACTCAAACATTATAAGTACCTATGTAACTGTATTTTGTGATATTTGTGAGTTTTTTCAATAAAGAGTTAGGCAAATAATTATCTTTGTATGAGAATATTCGTTTTGTTTGTTTCTATTTTTTTGGAAATAGCATCGTACATACATTGATGTATGTTCGCTGGAAATAGGTTCCTTTTCAGTTTACTAAAAGTATATAATGTTTAGACGTCATAGGTATATTTCATCATCCTTCCTTGGAATTCGTAGAGCATTAAATAGATCTTACACAGATAATATATTGAAATCCACTGAATTTTTGACAAGATATTTAGTGATGGCATACAAATCGAACTGGCAACCCTGGTCCGCGCGGATAGTGAGTTGACGACAACTGTCATTTGCTGTTGTCAAATAAATTCACGAAATCCGATAGATTTTACGTGTAAATAGGATTGTGATGTGAATATTAGTGTTTGAGGTCGACGAAAAAATGTAATATGCACCTCGGCGAAAAACTGTCTATTGTCCCGCCTGATTGTTAGCCTCGGCTAAGGCCTCGGCGATCACTTCGTAGACTCGACTATAATAGACAGTGTTTCGTGCTTGGTACATCAATGACTATTTTGGTTACTCATATCAAAAAAACACAATAATTGTCATCCTCTTAATGTTGAACTGTTCCCTTTTTATCATATATAAAGTTTGTGAATTGAAAGGGGCCTGGGTGAGCACCTTGTGGAACTCCTCATTTCAGAGATTCGTTCAGTCACTTTCATATCAATTTTTATTTCACCTAATAGATTAAGAAATCAATTATAAATTTTAGGTGATTGAAATGAAGACATTGTTTTTTCGTGTGCCGACTACAAAAATGAACAAAGACGAGATGAGAGAGGTAATTTTCAAGCACTTCTGAAAGCTTGAGCTTTTATTTGAGTCGACAAGTACGATATTATATTATTGTTTTTCAGTTGGAAGTATTCATGAAATTGCTGAGTTGGGAAGATCCCATGAAAGGACCAAGGACTAATATTTTGTTTGGAGTTTCTTGTTTCAGTGGGGTAACTATAATTATTTCTCAACAAATATCCTTCGAAAAGTATATTATCATTTATATATATTTTTTTAATTTCCAGTTGACTGTAGACGTTGTAGTCAATGCCATGGTATTGATACAATTATATTTCTGGTTTGGAAGATAGACGTATGATGATACCTGGCTACGAAAAAGATGATTGATGATGTATTATAAAAGTACACTACAGAAAAAAAGCACAAGAAATTTCAATGAATAAATAGTTTCGGAATATTTTAATTTTTAAAAATTAATACTGTATCCTCATCCTCTACATACATTTTTCCTGGACTATAGTATTAAAATAATCATTCTTTCATTAAATAAAACGTATATCAACATAAATTTAATCATTCATTAAATATCAATACTCTTACTAACAAGTAGTCGTCTCTGAGTGAAACATGAAATAACCCTTAATATTTCATTTTCAACTTGTAAGTTTTTCAGAATATTATTGCATGCCTCAATACTTATGAATTAACGAATTCTCTTCTAGGAGTTCTGTTTCATGCACTACAATTTCTTACATATTGAAAACCCTAGTGAAATCCCAAATCCCAAAACCAATTAGATGGATTTGGTCGACATATATAAATTGTTTTGGGCATTCAAACAAAATCTCATCAACCCTTAATAACAACCAAAAGTTTCACCAATCAACACTAAAAACCCATCAAAGGTTTGAAAACTTTCGTCCACAGCAGATATAGCATTCCAACTACGAAGAACGTTTTGAACAGAATATCAACAATCCACATCCTGAAAAAATAACTTTATGTAATTTATGAGAATTTGACGAAATTTATGAGAATTTTATGCAATTTATGAGAATTTCAACAAATTTATGAGAATTTTATGCAATTTATGAGAAATTTATGTGAATTTTATAAAATTTGTGAGAATTTTATGAAAGTTATGACCATAATATGAATATTCATGAGAATTTCATGAAATTCATGAAGATTTCATGATTTTCATGAGAATCTTATACAGTGAGGACGTAAAAAGTCCTCCTCCGCCTTTAACTTTTGAACGGAACAATAAGCTAGTGAGGTCGGGTAAAATTCAGGCAAAAAGGTACCTCTTTTACTACTATTTGGCATGAAAATGGTTGTGTTCACGTGACCCAGTGCCAGGTGGGCACCATCAACTTTTTTCTTCAAATATTCAGAGGGGTCACGTGGTACCTTGTTTTGAAGGCGTTTGAAATTTGCGTCGAATATTAATATTAATGAATAAATAACCTAAATAACTCTTAATTGCAACAGAATTTCGAGTAGGGATTGTAACAAGTGCTCAAACATGCTCGAAATGTTCATCGTTCACTGGTTTCCCACTGGTGGCAGTAGAATTGATGACCAAGAAAACGATGTGATTCATTTTTTGAGAGTTGTGACATTCTGCTGATAATTTTTAGGTTATTTGACAATAATATAATTCCGGGAATTATAATTCATAATGGATGATGTTCTTCCCGCTTTCTTTTTGTCCTCCTTAGTAGATGTATCGGTATTACAAGGCAAAATATATTGATATTTATCTATGAAGTTGACCCCATAATACTTGAAAGGATTTTTTACTTGTTTGAGTCTTTTGATGTTATCTACTGGAATAATTGACTAAATTCATGTTAATACTTTCAGATTTTCTAGCATTATCTTACCAAAAATTGAAATTATTATAAAAAAGTAATACCGCAAAATTTTTCAACATTCAAAAGTCATTTCAGGAGTCCAGTAGTGTTTGAAAGTATCCTGGGTATAGAATTGAAAACAATTCCAAAATATTTCCTGAAGCGAGTTCACTTTTGGGCAATTTTTAAGTCAGATTTTCTGGTTAGAATATCTGAAATACCGCCATTTCCGTCATTTCATACACTCCCTCCACAATCATCTTCCTGTCATTCCGTATGAGAAGACGGAATGAAAAGTTGAAACCAGTTTCAGAATTTCGTTCAATAAAACTACAAGACTTGTCATTCCGGTGGAAGAATCTTGCCAATAAAACAGAGCAGAGTTAGATACAGAATCGAAAGGCCTTCAAAACAAGGTACCACGTGACCCCTCTTCATATTTGAAAAAAAAAGTTGATGGTGCCTACTTACTTGACACTAGGTCACGGGACCACAACCATTTTATGCCAAATAGTAGTGGAGAGGTACCTTTTTGCCTGAATTTTACCGGACATAGCTAGCATGTCCCGTTCAAAGGTGAAAGGTGGGGGGGGGGAAGGACTTTTTACGTCCTCACTGTATTTATGGATTTCATGAGGATATGTTATGCGAAATTCATGAAACTCACACTTTCATGTGTCTCCTGGCGGCCGGTATGGTGTCGTCAGACTCCTTGAGTATATACAATCGTGTGCAGTGGACGCAGTCCGTGAAATAGTCTACATAGTCTATTCCGTCTCCGTCCACCTTGAAGTTTCGCCTTTCTCTCGGGTTCATCAGGTTCCTGGCCTTGCACGATTCCTTATTTTCGAAATCCCATTGGTTGTTGGCGTAGTACTCGAACACCTCGAATCCTTTGGATATCCTCTTTTGAACGCGCATGAGACTGAAAAAAACAACGATTGTACAGAATCTTCACGTATATTTTGAACCCCCCCTCAACTATTCCATTTATCATGGAATTTTTTCCAAAAATAGACTTTTATAATTTTTCCTGTAGATTTTGGATATTTATGTTAATAGGAAAACAATTGAACATCTCACAAAAAGTTATGGGCAAGTTGTAAATTTTTAAATGGGACACCCTGTATTTTAAGGGGGGTTTCAAAATATACGTGAAGACCCTGTACAGGGTGCGCCTCTTGAAATGGAACCCTCCTTAACTCTTTTGTTTTCAGAGATGTGAAAAAATGTTCAATAGAAAAGTGTTCTAAACTGGCCCCAACTTTAATTTCGTGGAATTGTTTGATATACAGGGTCATTCGTTTTTCTGGAAAGGACATGAACTTTGATTTATTCACATTTAATCCTCGTATTGACTTGACTGGTATAAATACTATGTATATCAATACTAATAAATTGATTGATTGATATGGTGTCGTCAGTGATATTGTGGTATCCCGACAAAACTTACTTACACTGGTTTATATCCTAGAATTACTAGTAGGGCATCGACAATAATAGCTGGTAGCATGTGGAACAGATAGAAACAGATGTTGTGCACAAGTCTGGAGGTTTTCATGGACCCTCCTGGATACCAAGCGACATTATTCAATGGCATCCTTTGTTCTATCACCGTCCTGCCTATCTCTATGATCTCTGACCAAGAGATTTTGTATTCCGAGGAGCTGGTTAGGTTGTAGACTCTTCTTTGCCTGTGTGAACAATAATGAATTACCTTGGTCATTCTCCAGCTATCATTAAAATCACCAATGGGGGAGACCACTGTTTGTTTTCAAACGACATCATCGAGAGCCTTATACCAAAAAACTGCCAGTAAATATGAGTTCGAATTTTTTCATTCATACTAGGACAATGAAAAATAAATTGTAATATGTTCATTCCAAAACTTAGTGTCAATTCTCTGGTGTGACTGGTGTGATGTATTATTCCCAGCACGCCTATTATTCTTGAGCTGACTAAAAACACATTTGGTAGGTCTGAGAATCGGTCGTATGCTATTTTTTAATTTGATAATTGAAGATGCCGGATCCAATATGGCGGACGAGTTTTGTAATCATGGTCCGATTCTATTCCAAATTAGTATTTGGATAATACTGTCTGGAGATTTTCGGGGTCGCCCAAAATTGGGAAGATGTAGGATCCAATATGGCGAACGAGGTTTGTGATTATAGACCGATTCTATTCATCTGGGGGATTTCGTGGTCAGAGATTATGATTCCTTTGTCAAAATCGGGAAATTCAAGATGGCGGATACAATATGGCGGATACAATATGGCGGACGAGTTTTGTGTTAATTATTATACGATTCTATTCAAAATTGGTATCTATAGGAGTTTTCGGGGTCGGAGATTATGATTATTTTGTCACAAAACTAAAGTAATAAAACTTGTTCATAAATATTCAACTAAAAAAGAAATTTCCTAGAATTAATGTGAACTGAAGAAAATGATAACAATGTTGTGTTTTTAGTATGAAGATTTATTTCTAAAAAAGTAGATGTGGTAGGTATTCACGGTCGCCAAGGTCATTATATAGATTACTACGTTGCGATGACATTAAAAACCATGGGAATACATGTATAACTTTCAATCTATGCATGAAAATTACCGATAATTTTACAAGAAAGCGTGTTATCTGAAAATTGCAGGAGTTTGTTCTCATATTTTGGCGAAAGAGCTCGAGTCCGAAGGAGGAGGACTCTTTCACAAAGTATGAAGTTAAACGAATGTCATTTGTATTAAATAACATGATTGACTGCAAAATTATATGGTAATTTTCATGCACGAATATAATTTATTGGAACGTTTCACGAATAAATAAATTCTCGTTGTATGGAGCACGCACCAAAACGTGACATTTCTTTCACTTTTTGAAGTCTATCTGACATTTATTCGTTCTGGCAGTGCAATCTTCGCTCTTCAGTGCAATTATCGTTGTAATTTTTCGATATTTGCATTGCTCTTATAGGACATTTTATATGAGGGAAATATTTCCTTAAATTTAAAATGTCATCGCGACGTCATATGATAACCTTGACTACCATGAATAGCTACTGGTACCTATGTCGTTTGCGTTTGAAAATATCCCCATTTTTTTCCCATCAATTCATATAGCGAAACAACGTTTGCCGTGTCAGCTAGTTGACATTTGGACGGATTGCATCCCTCAGTGGTCTTCCCCATTATTGGTCATAGACTCACTTGTGATTGAGATAGTCGAAGGTGCTTACGATCATCGCGTTCACTCCAATGTCGACAGGAAGGAAATCCGCGTACTTGTCGGAATTACAGTACATCGTCCTTATAACCCCTTTACCTGCACCAATCAGAAGTCCTGCAGGGCCGTTTATGTTATCTGTCCAACCGGGAATTGGTTCTTTCCACACGGGAATCACTAAATAACAAAAAAGAAATGTGACTTTCATGTAGGCATTATGTCCATAGACATATAAAAAGAGGTGGCGATATTGTTCACATTTTGTCCAGATCCAACCTTGTTTTCAGCAGAACACAATGATGACGATTTCTGCGGATTGGCCTAGATCTACTGTCTGTGTTTGAAAACGAGGGAAGCATATTAATCATACATTTATATATTAAACATTTTTAATGTTTATTCATTGAGTATGTTCTCTCTTCATAACTTATTTGAAACTTTGGAAGTATGCGTATGATTGTGAATAAATAGTGTTTTATGAATGAAATATTATATCTTCCCTCTTTTTATATGTGTACGATTAGGTCGAATGGTGTATCCCCCACCCCACTGTTTCAATGGGCAAACTCCATGGTGGGTACGCCCATTTGCTGTGAGGGGTGGGGGTAGCCTATCTCATGTGATACCTACTAATCTAATAACTTTGTTCTATTCGGTTTATCTATAAATCTATGAATATAGTCAGATCGCTCTTGATATCTAGATTCATTTGAAAGTTGTTTAATGATGTGTTATTACCTATTGAGGGTCTCATGATGACAACAGGAAGATTGTCCATTTCGTCTGCTACCAGGGATTCACCTAGGGCTTTAGTGAAAGCATATGTGTTTGGTATGTCTCCCAAAATCCTAAAATGAGATCCCGAGTGAGATGATAGATAAGCAAAAGTTCTTTGAAAGTTCAAAGTCGTTATCTTTTTGTTAGAGGAACCTTCAATGACTCACTTAGGTGTGATAGTGTCTATCATTTCATCAGTCATCCATTCGGCAGTTTTGATTAGATGGTGAGGATTTGCTGGGGGTGGGTAAACTCGCTCTTCAAGCACCCTTTCGTGTAAATGACAGTAGGCAGTGGATACATGAACAAACACCTGAAAAATACATTCGTAGTGCGTCTCCGTATATTTGACCCATACCTACAGCTTTGAATATGCGAGGTGGACAGAGATTTCAATTATGAAAGTTGAAGGATTTCATATCTGTACTATCTTTCGCCATTCCTTAAATGAACAGATAAAATAGAGTCCAAATAGAGTTTCTTGAATGAAACACCCTCTATTATTTCAACTATAGATCTTTTTCTCCAATGCACAAATATACAGGGTGTTAACATATAAGTGTCGCAACGGAAAACTGTAAATTCCTCATAAAAAGACAGAATTTATTCTCGAAATTCTCCGGGCTTCCGTTTTAGGGCGTCAAAACAAAATAGTTTACGTAAACAAAACTTTATCAACATCAGAAAACCCGAAACCAGCACTCAACAACCTGATATTCAATTGAAAATTTCATTTGACATTTCTGAGGTAATTAATTTCCTGTGGTAGATACCAAAAATTAAAGGAAGGGGGGACATTGAAGAAGAAGAAGGAATATATCCTTCACAACAGTTCAATGTATACAGGGTGTTTCATTTAAAAAAAACTGATTTGTACTCCTTTTTTTTATTTCATTTTACGATTCGCATTTGTTTATTTAAGAAATGTCAGAAGATAGTGCAGTTGAATCCCTATACAACTTTCATATTTGAACCATTTTTCCACTTCATATTTAAAGTACCTTGAGTTTTTTGCATTCTTTCGCGAGATCCAGCATGAGTTTCGTTCCTCTAACGTTGAGCAATACTGCCTTCCTCAGAGCTTCGTCGAATCTTATGGTCGCTGCGCAGTGGAATATAAAGTCTGCTTCTGCGCATATGATCGTCCTATCTTCATGTGACAGACCTAAATCGGCCATTTGCACATCTCCTCCTATCGCCTGGACTTTCTTTACCACCTCTGGACCTTGCTGCTTTCTCACCAATTCAAAAAGCTGGAACGTTTGCATTTTATTTTTTTTTATTATTGGTCATTGTTCGAATTACTCACTGGGTCATTCATGATATCTTTTATCCTCTCTTGCGGCTTTTTTCCTTTCTTCACCCTCACTAACAGTATGATTTTCTTCAGTTGGGAGCAAGATCTCAACAATTTCTCTACGAGGACTTTTCCCATGAAGCCTGTACCACCTGTGATGAAGACAGTTTTGTCCTTGTAGGTGTCTGCCACTCTATCAGGGTATTCTTCTATGTTCACATCCGCCATCTTAGAAATCTGAAAACAATAAATTATGGGAGAAACTTTCACGCCTACATCAACAAACATACATCGCATGGGAAAATTTGGCCAATTCCAGTTTTGGTTTTATACCAAAATTCAGGCAACAATGCAGAGTCATGGAGATTACTGCTAACAAATCAAACTATCTCTCGAATAAGTTCAAAGATGATTATTTGCCAAATTTATAAAGTTTTACATACAGAGAGTGCACAAAAAACGGACAGTTCTGCAATTTCTGAATCATCCGAGATTTGATTTGGAAAATTGTTGGTTATAGTACGATACCGCAAGACCTAAACCCAAATATCAAAAAAAGAGTTGTCTCCTGCGCCAAATTGTTCCGTTGACTTCCCATAGCACGTGGTATAAAGGTACACCCCACCGAGGGACGGGGTAAGGGGAGGGTGGAAAGTCGGAAATATAATTTTTTCTCAGTTTTTTGCCTATATCTTTGAAACTATGAGGTTCAGTGCAAAAGTCTTGCAGTGCGAAAATGATCAAGACATTGAATTCTGAAAAACAAAGTTCTATGTTAAATGATCTGTTACTGCGATATACGGTACCAGGAAGGGCCCAGTTGCGATTTTTTTATAAGTTTATGCGGAGGGTAATATAATTCAAATAATTGATATTCTAAATGATATTTTTTATATGTATAACTAGGGCAAGAAATTTTCAAAATAGTAGTACTTCGAGAATCTTGAGATGAATTGTATATTAATAATAATAATAAATGATAATAATATATTTATTCACACACAACTTGACAAGAGGCAGTGAAAACATATGGAAGAATCACAGAAGGACGAGCCTGTGCGTGGCACTATGTATGTATATATGATGTATTTATGTATCTCATACAAATTATACAGGCGGTGTATCTGTATAACACTGAAAAAAATGTATGGGTGATCCTGTGATGAAAATGGAGGTGTGTATTCGGTATAAAATTGTTTGATAAACCTTTCCCCAAAAAAGTTATACTCCTTCGAAGATTGAAGAAAAGAAGGGTTTTTCTTTTTTATTTCCCTTGTATATTAAGCTAAAGACACGAAACTTGGTAAATATTATTTGTCAATGCAACTATACACCTTTTGAATTGTTTTCCACCCTGGAGTAGGCTTAGAGGGGGCTGAAATATTCAACCACCAAGATATTTTTTCATACAACTTTTTTTTAATGAAAATTTGTCTTTCAAAAAGCATGCCTGAGAAGCCCAATTCATTGACTAACTTTTTCATCTCTGAAAGTTTGTACGAAAACTTGGATGTGCTGCATACATTAGATTGTTATTAATTCTAAATGAGGAATAATATGAAGACACTGAATTACAAAATATCCTCTGAGGAAATACAATTTTACTCGTTTCGATGACATGATTTTGTCCCAAATTCAGAAATGATTGTTAGATATTTATGATCAAACTTCCAGCAGAATGTTTCTTACTGATGCAACATCCTCTGTACTGAAATTGTTATGCTGCAAAAGTATAAACACATTGTGAAACAAACGAAGAACGTTAATAATATTCAAATAATATATACCTCGATTATTATGTGGCTATCATTGCATGATTCATTAGCATCAATCTTCATTACAATTATTTTGTCATTATTTTTTATTTTCGAGTTTAAGTAATCATGATAATTTTTGAAGTGATTCAGTAAAATAAATATTTCTTTTACGTCATTTTGTCATTCATGTTACTATTTGCTCGTTATGCTCATCCGTGTGGAACTATATGGAATATACCTTGACGGATGTTGCAATGTCCATACAATAATAAGTAAACAAAATATGACAAATTGAATAATTCCTCTTACATGATGTCTACAGATGACACAATGATTTCGAAGAAAGAGCTATAAACAACTCGTTTTGTATTCAGAGAATGTTACATATCCGCCTTATTTATATAAAATTGTTGTTTTCGAACGAAATTGTCATTTGTTAGAAATTCATTGTTCGAGTTTCTCAATATATTTCAATTGCCTACTCTGATAGATGTTTGAAACATTCAAGTAGTTACCTATAGCTATCACATTTGTTTCCAAATAGTTCATTCGAAAAAAAAAAACAATTTTCCTAATTACTCAAGTGTTCATAACATCTGTTGAGAAATAATCTATGTGTGAAAGATTTAATCATCAATTTGAGATTGAAAGATATGCATAATTAGTTGCTGTTTTCCATAAACTATTCAATTTCGAAGAAAAATGAAAATAATATCATTATCTGCTAATTTCTATCTCGTTTCTTTTTCCAATACATTTTATTGTGGTTGGTCCAGATTTTTATACAATAATTTCGAGAGGTGATGTAGACTCGCAAAATAAGGGTTCTTTTTCTAATGAACATTAAAGTAATAGTATATAAGGCAGTAAAGAATATTATTATCACCCAGGAACAAAACTTAATATAGTTATTTATTATACAAGGGGAAAAAGTAGTAGATTTTAGCTCCAGGTTGTGTTGTCTCCCGACGCGTAGCGGAGGGAGACAAAAAACCGTGAGCTAAAATCTAATATTTTTCCCGTGTATAATACACTATTTTTTTCTGTGACAGAAGGAAGGACGAATCAATATTGAGAAGATATTACATTATTTCGAAATCTGAAAATTATCGACGTGAAATTTCAAGTTTTTAACAGTAGGGACACCTGCGTTTTATAGACATCTTTATCATTCTTTTGAAGTAATCAAATATCTGATGTCACTTCTGTCAGTTCAATTCTGTGATTTGATTTTAAAAAATTGTGAATTCAATTGTTGTTTAGTAATATACGAAACCGCGAAGTCTAATGGAAGATAAAAGGACTTGCAGTTCTTTCTCGGAGACGGTACTATTGACTAATTTTTCGGAACTATAGCACAACAAAAGCCATTAACAGAGTATATATATGTGATATATATCCGGGAAAAAAGTACTCACTTTTTTCCCACGGGAAAAAAGTAATTTATGAAAAGTGACATTTTATAACCTCCCAACAGAGATGAAATGCCAAACTTTTTTCCCGTCAGAGAAAAAATAATATTATTCACTATACCAAGGTGTATATTATAGTCATTCGTGATATAAGTGCCGAAAGTGATATTTTATTTTGTGGGAAGTGAAGTTTGGGACAGGTACCTATATCATACACTATTTTTTCTACAAAGGAAATACAACAACAAGAAACTTAACATTGCTCTTTGCCCTGGTACAAGCTTCACCAAAAAAAATTCTGTTACATCTACCAATGAGGCTGGCCATGGAGACTTATTATAATTGTAGTTTCACTAATTGTATGGTTAGTTGAATAAACAGTCCATTTGGAATTATGTTTCTATATTTTCCCATGAAAATAAATCACTTTTAGCACTAGTGCTAATAGTAGATTGTTTTGTTGGGATCAAAAGTGGCACTTTGTTTGACAAGCGAATTTTGCATATGCGTCTATAGCGATGCCGAGCGAAAACAAAATTTTCAAGTCGAACAAAGGCACTTTTGATCCGAAAGAAACATGCTCTTTTTCCTGCAACCGAAAGAATTAACTCAAATAAATATGTGAAGTAACCACCAATGTCGTGACATATGTATGCAATGCAACAAATATTCCGTCTGGTGAGAATATTCGACCTACATTAACAGGTCAGGTTTATTCAATTTTCAAGGATTTTCGAATTGTATGGTTTCAATATAAATACAACCACAGAGTGTCATATTCGTGAATGGACCAGGTGCTCTAATAGCAAATACCGCGCCAGTGCCACGTATAGGAAAAAGACGTGGAAAAGGTTAGGTTAGTGAGGATATCAACAATAATAATAGCGATTATTCATTTCTCTCTATACTCCACTGTGTTTGGCTCCATGATCGAATGAAGGTAAACAATATCGTTGTTTGAGACAAAAAACTATTGTTGGGCGTGATTAAACAAGTAATCCATCCCGAGAATAACGAATGAAAAACAGATCAGGCAAGTATGTGAATCTTGAAGGTTTTCCTGATCAAAACAAAAATACTTAACTATATAATATGGTGTATTTATATCTCCTGCAAGGGTATGAACTGCCAAATCTGCCGAAATCGTAAACAAATCAGGTATGCGTTTTAACCCAAATAACCAACCGTAACAACGTCTTTTATTCTTGATGACCTCTAGTACATCCTTTTCAGTTCCTAGGAGCTGAAGTTCAAGTTTAGCTTCTAGGAACTAAATGTGTTGCCTAGCAACATACCTATGTTTGTGTCATTAATAGGAAAGTCGATTCAAGAGCTAATTTTGGTATTAAAATTGCCGACTTTTATGTCGGTTGCAAAAAAAGTATTTTACTTTCAACACCAGTGTCATGAAATGGCATTTTAGACACTGACAGCATGCATTGAAAATTATTCTTTTACTGATGTTCGTGGAAACATTTTGTTTCACCAGTAGCAATATATTTCAATCACTGTGTGACACTGAAATATGAACTAATTGTCACTTTTAAATACACAAGAGCCTTTTTGTAGAAGTAAACTCGGCATTTCAAGGAGAATTTTGTTTTGTGTCTCGGAATTAAACGAAAAAAATCGCCTTACTGGCAGTTTTTTAGTTAAATTTCCTAAAGGCAAGAAAATTCTCAATGTATTGCTTCATATAAATATATATCTATTTTTGTATGTTCATGATTTATCTGAGAATATTCCTTTTCAATACCTTATTGGTGTATCGAACACAGTAAAACAAGAGCAATGGGCGTGTACACCTTAGTAGAACTTTTGACTCAAATCATATTTATAATGATCCTTTTATACATAAATAATGATTGACGACATAATTCGATCGAAAAATTAAATGGAATGTTTTATTTTTGGACATAAATAATAGTACATTCTGAAAACGGAGCCTCTTATGACGTAGAAACCTCATCTCGCCATAGTTAAAAGAAAATACCAAATGCCCGACGGAGACTGAGGCAACTGATATATTAATTCTTTCAACTGTGATCTCGCGCTAATT